AACCTTAAGATCGCATTTTTGCACAAGGTAGACGACGCGGAATGAAAATGCCGTATTGGCTAGAAGTCACAACAAAAAGGTTGTACCCGCAGTATTGGGATCCTGACCACACCGCCCGCACCCGTACCCTAGGGCCCCTCTTTAAGTACTTGGAGATGGCCAGGGTCACTCGGGAGTCAGACAGCCAAGGGAGGGCGCCAAAGCGCGCAACAAAACAGCGCGCACGGCCCTGGCAAAAAAAAAACCTAAACCCTAAACCAGTAAGCTATTACTTAGTTCTGACAGCCTCGAGGTTGTTCATCACGCTTTCGGCGTGGTAGTCGTGGAAACCTGCATGGACGGCTGAGTTTGCTGTGAACCACCCCCACTCGTCAGCTACTCACTCCCCTCCGACGTTCAACAAACTGCCTGGTTTGAGTCTTCTAACCCCTAGACCCTAAGCGATAACCCTAAACCCTATAACCCTGAAACCTGAACCTTGACGCCGACAAACCTTAGGTGCATGGCATGCCATTGCTCTTGGCCTACCCAGCAGATTCTGGGGAGGCCCTTACGCCAGGCTATGTGCTCTCGGGATACACCGAAGACGTGTTTCATCATGAATCATAAAGGTTTGACGGCTTGACCTTCTAACCACGAGCCTGTAACAACAAAAACCCAAGCCGCGAACTCCAAAAATCACCTAAACTCCAAAGTTTGTAAACGCAAACGCCTGCCTGAACCACTCAATTAACCCAGAAACTCGGTAAATGTTCACATCCCATTAGCCTCAACAATGGAAGTCGCTTCCTCCTGGCAGTTCGTTTTGGTGCAGCATGCGTGTATACAAGCGCCGGCCCGTAAAACGCAGCAGGCTCATAACTGTGTGCTGGGGACACTGAGCCACCTGTGTGCTCGACAGCTGACGCCAAACCCTAAACCCCAAAGCCCTAATCCGAACCGCCAAGCCCTCCACCGCCCAAACCTGATACTCAAAGTCTCACGAGATGAGAAATGGAGCCGCTCGCGATTTGAGCTTCATCCCTAGGCCCCCGGTCCACCCAACCAAACCGTTATGTTTGAAGGAAGATCTAACCAATCTAACCCTTAACCTTGAACAAGTCACTGCGGCGCCTGAATACAGGTCCCAAAAAAAAAGCCCGGGCTTCAGTGTCGCATAGGTTTCACAGCGAATCAGGGTGCTAACTGCAGTTCCGTGGCTGTCAGCCTCACATTTGAAACCCTTGAGCCATCGAATGTCTCAATCCCAGGACCCACGTCCGAAATCCGAAGTCACCAAGAAAAGTCCGACACCAAGGGTTTAGGATTTAAGTAGGGCTTAGGTGCTTATGGTTTAGGGTCACTAAGCCCCCACAAGTGTAGTTTGTTTGCTTCAGGGAGGGCGGGGTACCCAATGACCTAATGGCCCATTTCTACTACCAGTACCAGTACCACCGTAAGGTGTTCAGAGAATGAAGTCCCCCCCCCCCCCTCCCCGCCTCAACCCTAAACCCTCAAACAAACCAAAAAAGCTACAACCCGGGGTCCAGCTTGCCTGGGTCTCAGGACGAAGGGCTTAGATGGCTCCTGCTGCTAAACTCCTGCTTTGCCCGCTTCCTTTGAGAAAACGCAAGGTCATCCTGTTTAGGGTTTTTGTGGCTTAGGGTTTAGGGGGTCAGACTTTGGATTTGGGTTATGCTATCCTATGCTATCCCCAAACATCCCTAAGCCCTAAACCCCAAACACTAAACCCTAAACCCCAAACATCCCTAAACCCTAAACCCCAAACACTAAACCCTAAACCCTATACCCTAAACCCCAAACCCCAAACCCTAAACCGTGGTTAAGCGCTACAAGATCTGCGATCCAGCCTTCTTGCGAGTTGGTAGGTTGGTGCGTCGCCGTGGACTGCAGAAGAGGTGGATTGGGTGGTTTAGGGTTTAGGGTTTAGGGTTTATGGTTCCAGGGGAGGGTTCTGCTCTACCTCGGAGCCTCATACTTATAGGGTACGATAGGGGCCTTAAGAATTGGAATAGGGTTTTGCGGGTGATTATAGTATACTTACAAAGGGACTAATCCCTTCACCTTTTATTAAAGACCCCCCTAATACTAAAAACACTTTCCGGAAAATCCTGCCGAAACCGACCCCGCCTTCTAAACCCTATTCCGAATTAGGGGGGGGGGGGGTTCAGGGCACCCAAAACCCGCCAGCCAACCAACATCCTAAAGCTTCCTCCCTCTCTCCCCAGCCTAGACCCTAAACCCTTTGGACCCCAAACATGGCATCTGGATAAAAACCTCCCCCTAATAATAAAAACACATTTCGAATTTCTATTGGGGGGGGGGGGGGGACCCCGTTTAATATTAGGGGGAAGGGATTATAAGGGAATACTATTACTATGAGTGCTTATTCCGACCCCTACTATGTTACGACCAAAAGGTGGAATCAATTAGAGAATGCCCAGGTGGAGTTCGCATCACGGCTATTTGGCTTACATCGTTGAGCTTCAAGACTTGAGGACGAAGTAGGGGTTGGGTTTCAGGGTTCAGGGGAAGGCGGGGAAGGGGTCTGCATTAGGAAGCGGTCCGCATCTTCATCTGTGTTCCGGCTCTCTCCAGAGTCTTCAACAATGCTTAAGTTCGGGCTCTTCCCCCATCCAAAGCATCGGATGAAGGGTCAGCCCAAGCCCGAATGGCTCTTTCCCACCCCATAACAGGATTCGGGTTTGGGGTTTAGGGTTTTAGGGTGTTTTAGGGTTCATGGTACGGCTGGAAGGGACTTTGTTGCTGGTGCTGGTACAGGATCCCTTAGGGGATATCTTGTGAAGGACCTGCATCCCGGAAAACCAGCCGGGAGTTGATCTTCAGATCCCCAAGCTGCTGCAGGCCAAATTGACCCGTCCCGGCTGTAGGGTTTAGGGTATAGGGTTTAGGGTTTAGGGTTTGGGGTTTAGGGTTTAGGGTTTAGGGTTTAGGTTTAGGGCAATCCGTTGCATCCTCCAGTCAGCACCGACGCCTCAAACCAAACCCTGCCAAACCCACGTGCAAACCCACGTTCAAACCAACACCCAAAGTACTAAACCCGATTTGCATCTTCGATTAACCCTCACCCTAAACCTTAAACCCCAGATCCAGAACCTGAAGCCCAAGTTACACCTTCAATCAACCCGGACACCCTAGAGACCCTAAACTCTAAGCCCCAAACCTGGGCCTAGACCCTAAACCCTGACCCTAAACCCTAAGCCCTAAACCCCAAACCCTAAACCCTAAACCCTAAACCCTAAACCTCCAGGACGCCTTGCTCTTCTGCGCCAGGGGCAGGGTGGACTTGCGGTCGTCGTCCAGCTCCAGCCAGGGAAAGGTGCGAGTCATGGAGCCTGCTCAAAGGGAACTTTTCGAGGGTTGTTTAGGGTTTAGGGTTTAGGGTTTAGGGTTTGGGGTTTGGGGTTTGGGGTTTGGGGTTTGGGGTTTGGGGTTTGGGGTTTAGGGTTTAGGGTTCGGTCAGGGTTTAAGGCTTGGGATTTAGGAGGTTTAGGGTCAGGGTTTGGGGTTCCGGGATCAGCGTTCATAAACGGGAGTCGCTGTATGATCGGGGGATGTATAGGCGGGTGGGGTGGGGGTATCAGGGATCAGGACATGCGCGTTGAACTAGGTTTTTCAAGGGGATGGAGGGCTGTAGGTGTTAGGGTACAGAGGGTGATGGGGCTTTAGGGATGTAGGGGGTCCAGTGTTCAGAGGCTGTCCGTGTGGCGACCACGAAATGTCTGAGGATTACTTCGACATCTTTGCATTGAGCCCTGACAAAAGGGCTTGGCCCTGTTGATCATGGTACAATGTAACGAAGATCTATCCTTCACTTGACTCACTTGAGCAAGGTAAGAAATCTCAGAGGTAGCCCCGTCATCTAAAGACGAGAAGCAACAGGGCGAAGTCCTAAAACTCAACCAAACAAGAGCCCTAAACCCTAAACCCCAAACCCCAAACCAGGAGGCTCTTCGGCCCTTCGGCCTATGTCCGTGGCCGCGAGCACCAGCAAGCAAAGCAGCCGATCCACCTGTCACACTTATGCTGTTTCGCTTCTCCTGAGACTAAAATAGCACGCATGTCCCACATCTCTCAAACCCTATAAACCCTAAAGTCCCACGTCTCTCAAATTCTAACCCCGAAACCCTAAACCCGAAAACCCTAAACCCTAAACCCCAAGACCGGAGAACGCCCTATGAAGCCGGTCTGGGTTGAGTCTAAACCCAAGGGGGCATTTCCCAAGATAGGGGTGCTATCTCATTCCTCATATACCCCCCTTTTCTCATACTACAATCCCTATAAACCCTAAATCCTAAACCCTAAACCCCAAACCCTAAAACCCTACTTTCGGAAACCTTCAAGTGTCCCGAGGACCACCGACTGCGTCGAGCCGACCTCCTCCCGCTGCTTCAGCGTCAGCGCCCGACAGAAGAGCACAGAGACCAGCAAGGAGCACAGGAAGCCTGAAAGGCAGGCTTAGGGTTTAGGGTTTAGGGTTTAGGGTTTGGGGTTTAGGGTTTAGGGCTAAGGTTCTAGGGTGCAGTGGGATTGGCCAAGGAGATTGCTTAAGCAAGAGGTGAATTAAGTCGGCAGGTAGAATCGAAGTGGGGGGCATTGGAGGACTTGGTCCAGGGAACGCCCGCGCTTGTTCGCCGCATCCGGGTAGGATTGCTGCGCCACCTGCGCAGGTTGCGAAGACCATGCGGATTTGGGGAGAGCTCCGGAACCTGCTGAAAACCTGTAAACCCTGTACCCTGGAACTCCTGAGGGGTGGATACCATCTCAGCTGCAAAAGGCCTCGAGGATTCAGCGTGCGCAGAGCCGATGGACGGGCATTCTCAGGGTTTGGCCGGGGTTTTAGGGTTTGAAGGTTTAGCGTCTAGGGCAACTCTAAGCCTTAAATCCTATTAAAGCTCAAAACGCTTCATGCATCGACTGAAAGCTTTGTCAAGCGATGAAGTCTCAGATAGCTGGGGTCTTTTTTCGGGTTTAGGGTCTTAGGGTTTTAGGCAGGGGTGGGGCGGTGGGCTTGTAGGGAACTCTAAAGGTTTCAGAGGGCTTTGAGGTGGCAGTGAAGTGAAGCAAGTGGTCGCCTGCTCGCCCATCTGCTTCATGATCATAAAGCCTGAGAGGGTGTGGGAGATTCTTCCCTGCACCGGTTAATTCTGCACTCTAAGCCGTACCAACAAGGGGCTCTTCATCTGTGGAGAGCGGGGCTTACATGTCGTAAACTCCATCCTTTTCGGGTGTGACCATTTTCGGAAAAATGAAGCTAACTTCTTCTTGTCCCACCAGTCACCACAACCCTACCCCTGAAGGTTAGTTACCGATTCTCCACAACTGCTCCTCCTGACCTGCTTCGCTGGTGATTGCGGCTGGGTGGCACAGTAGGGCTTGTCCGAGCCGTGCGATGTCATTGGTGTGGAGGTGAATGTGCACGGGCTTCGGCCTTTCAATGTGATGGAAGCCCTGGAGCTCAAAACGCCCCCTAAAGCATATATACTCTAAGCTACTGTGGGGTTATGAGGTACCTCATTGCCTAATCCCGGACAAAAAACGACTTAAGGTGATGCTGGGGCCTTTCGTTAATGGGGATTGAACGTAACGCAGGGAGGGCACGGGCGCCAAAGCATTTCCCATTCTTTGTAATATCAAGGGTTCTTAACTAGCATGCGAGGTGACGAACTCTGCACATGTGCCGCAGTTCCACGAGCGAAGCCACTCTCTCTCTCTCTCTGTCTCTCTCGCTCTCCCTCTCTTGATATCTATAGACATCTTCTCCCTTATGCTAACAGTCCTTAATTTGGGTTATGATACCCCCTGTGATAGTCCCTATTCAGGACTACTATTCAGGGGGAACATAATCTATAGACATTGATCCTTGCCTTTGTCTTCATAGCACCTCGACCCACCTCGCCCACACCCAAGGAGTGAAGAGCGGAGGCGGCCGGCAGAGGCCTCTAACCACAGAATCCTGGGTTGGCCTTTAAACCCTAAAACAAATACTAGTATTTAGGGTTTCTTATAAACCCAAATAAGGAAAAAATAGGGTTTAGGGTTTAGGGTTTAGGGTACCTAGCATCGTACTACACCCGATCCCCATCGCGCTCCCCATTGCGATCTCTCTTCTGTCTGGGGTCGCCCAAGTCTTCTGAACCGCCAAACTTCAACCCCTAAACCCTAAACCCTAAACCCGAAACCCTAAGCCCTAAACCCTAAACCTCTCATCCCAGCTCGGCCTGTACTTCCAGTGGAGGCACTCCGCGTTCAGGTGCGCGAAGGACGTGGAGCGCGCGGCGAGGTTGGAGAGAGTGGCCATGATGTCGAGGACCTGGCGCTTTAAACACCTTTTTCACAACATCTGCCGGTTTAGGGTTTGGGGCCAGGAGCCAGCCTTTCCTCGTATAAGGGGCGCTGCTTCGGGACCCGCTTAAATGTCCTGGCCCCCTGCCCGGGGTTCTGGATTTCGATATTCCGCCCTCTTGGGTTAGGGCCAAGCCCTTGAAACCTTAAGCCCTGTGGGCTTGGGATTCTAAAACCCTTGCCCTCTTAGGGTTTAGGGTTTAGGGTTTAGACCGACATCCCTTCCAAGCCGGGGGTTCCCCAAACCTTCAGCCAACCCGCGATGCAAATACCGTTGAAAAAGAGTGCAACAACCAGCTTCGATTGTTCAGGCAGGTAGAACATCGAACCCTTCAACTGCGCCTGGAACAACGAGCCCTATGGAGGCCTCGCATCCCAAACACCAAGTCCCGAAGTTACAAGATCTTAGGGGATTAGGGGGCATACCAAAGGGGATTAGGGGCTTCAGGGACTGGGATTTGGGGGGATTAGGCAGTGAGGGTGTGCTATGATGCCCGAGCTACGGTGCGCGAGCCCAGGAAAAGCAGCTCCAGCGGACGGTGGCTCCTAGGGACATGTATGTTTCCCTAAACCCTAAACCCAAGACCCTAAACCCTAAACCCCAAACCCTAAACCCCAAACCCTAAACCTAGTGTTGAGGGTTTGGTGTTTCTAGAGCAATAGGTGCCGGGGGGGGGAAGGGGGGAAGATGGCTCTACATTCAGAGTCGCTACACCCTCGTCCCTCTAAACCCTAGACTAAACCCTAAACCCTACGAAAGGGAGGGGGGTGCGGTGGGGGGGGAGGGGCTGTCTCGAGAACTTTCAGAGATGAGATCCCTTACAAAGAACATGGAGGGAGGTTGCTTTAAGGGCTTCCAGTCTTCGGGGATCAACTCGTCAGGATTCGGGATTCTGTGCCTTCAGGGTGGCAGGTCTTCTGAAGGGCTCTGTAGGGTTTAGGGTCTGGGGGCTTGTGCTTTGGGTGTAGCGACTCGGGCATCAGACCTTTTGGGTTGTAGGACGACGGCCCACTGATCTATACTTGTTTCTCGAAGATGGGCCAAGTAGACATTGAATGGCTGTTCTTATGATCTGAAGCGCCCTAATTAACCCTAAACCACAAAGCCTAAACCCAAAACCCTCAACCCCACACCCTAAACCTTAAACCCTAAGCCCTGCACCCTCAACCCTAAACCCTAAACCCTAAACCCTAAACCCTAAACCCTAAACCCTAAACCCTAAACCCTAAACCCTAAACCCTAAACCCTAAACCCTAAACCCTGCCCAGTGGCTGTGACGACCCCGTCGTGGGCATGCGGCTGAAGAGCGCAAGATCAGGGATGCCGGCCGTCAGATCCTTGAAGAATCAGCTCTGGTGTAGTTTAGGGTTTAGGGTTTATAGGGTTTAGGGTTTATAGGGTTATAGGGTTATAGGCTTTAGGGTTTAGGGTTTAGGGTCCAGCCTAGACAGTACATCCTACAATCCCACCATGCATACAAACATTACTGGCATTGGGGTCTAAAGTGCATAGGCAAACAGCGTTCAGGTTCTGGGATGTTGGCTTCAGACATGGAGCAATCGGGCAGATGCTCGAGCCTTAAGCACGCAAACGCCCCAAAATCCCCTAAACCCCAAAGCGAACATTTCAACCCGAGCACAACCGAGCCACCGCCCCCTTATAAGCCACTAAAACCCTAAAACCCTCAAACCGTGAACCCTAAACCCTAAACCGTAAAACCCAAAATGCCCAAAAAAAAAAACCTAAACCCTCAAACCCTAAAACCCTAAACCCTAAACCCTAAAGCGCTGATGTGCCAGGGCGCCATTGGCCAAGGAACGGAGTAGCTGTCGTGAGGCTGTCGACCCGCACCTTCGTCCAGAGGGACGAAGGACTTTAGGGTTTAGGGTTTAGGGTTTAGGGCTCAGGGCTCAGTAATTTAGGGTTTAGTTATTTAGGGGTTTGGGGGTTTAGGGCATCTTGCGGCGGATGGCTTGGAGGATGTGAAGGCAACTTGAGGTTGAGGCTTTTCTGTCTGCGTAGCTGCAAAGTGTCCTGAAGACCTGCAAGGCCCTTCGCGGCAAATGGGCAATGGCCCCAAAAATCCCAAACCGACTCCCAAACCGCCTGAGCCCGAAAGCATCGGACTTGCTCTATATTGTCACAAAGAAGCTTGAACTTCAGAAAGCAAGACTCTAAGACTCCTCCGTGGCGGACTGGGTGACAGATATGGCGAGGGTGGTCAGTCGAAGGGATGTTCAGAACGAGCGGCTGACCACCACCACTTCCCCGGCCCAAACCTCCAAGTCCATGTTGGATGTCATCGTTGGGAGATGCATGAATAAGATTGGCCAAGTGCCAGCCCAATCCTGCCTCCTGGGCCTTGCAGTACGGCCGGGGCTCCACAGCACGAGCGAGCGTCCTGCAGGATGCAGGTTACTGGGCGACAATGGCCTGTACCTTGAAGCCCGGCGGGACATTGCACTCGCCGTGGAAATTCCAACCGAAGCAAACCAGCTCGCCGCTCACCTTCACGGCGCAAGTGTGCTGATATGCTGCAGCCACCGCAACCACCGGACCAAGGTCGGGGGGGCACATCGCACTGGCCGACGGAGCCATGCAGCTGACCTCCATCACTGATGACGAATGTCTTGCCAGGTTTTGTTGCAACCGGACAGTCGGACTCGGAGCGAAACTTCACCGCCAAGAAGGGCAGCACCACCTCTCGGGCCGCGGATGCGAACGCCGTTTGCTTGACAGAGCCCTTGCTCTTGCGCAGGTCGACCAGGAGCCAGCACAGGTGGTGGAGGTCGCGGGTCAGCACATGCAGGCCATACGAATGCAGGGTGCTTAATGGCCATGGCTGTCAACGTGAGGTTCCCTCTACTGACTGCTGGTCCTGGAAGCAAGGTAGCCCCAGCAACTGCCGTGGTCATGGGCTCAGCCCTAACCCGAAACTCTAAACCCTCAACCAAAAAATCCTGACCCCTAAGCCCTAAACCTATAAACCCTAAACCCTCAGTCCGAGCCCCTGATGACTAGGGCCCAGGCCCACGTGGGACACCACGGGCGCGTCTAAGAACCTTGGCTGCGGAGCATGGTTTTAGGGCTTGGGCATAAAAATCCTGTCATGCAAAAAGATCCCGTAGTGCAAAGATATATATATATATATACATATACGCATATGCATCGGCGGTTTGGTTCTGAGGTGATTGTTCGTATGAATGACTTGGGAAGCTAAGATAAAGCTGCTTTCTACACTTTAAGAGAAGGGGGGAGGCCCCAGCCGCCATTTTCGGCCTGCTGACTTATGTTGAAAAGTGCTACCCTCCTGGCTTTGCAAGCTACATAGCCCAGGGTTTAGGGTTTAGGGTATAGCGGAGCAGCAGAGCGAAGAAAATCAGCCATATACACAGAAGTCAGCAGCTAACGCGAGGCACGTTTGCCATGCTGACTTGCGCTAGCAGCAGCACTCGTGAAGAGTGGCGAGTGAGGATGGGGAGTTTCTCACAAGCCTGAAACCACATAAAGCAAAAGCCGTTTACGTACCCAAAATCTTAAACCTTTAGCCCTATACCCTCAATAGGGTTAGCTGTGAGATTTGGGCGTGGATGGGTTCAGAGGGATCGAAGATCGTTTGGAGGATGGGGATCCGACACTTCAGTTGTTGTAAGACTTTGTCTATTGACATTAAGGATCCCTGCGGCGTTCAAGCGCATTCTGGGGTTTAGGCGGCTTAGGGGGGTTGGGGCCTGGGTTTAGGATTTCGTGTGTGGTGTGTTCGTTTTAAAGGAATGTTGGACCTGTTTGTTTATCGATGTTTATCGGTTGTGCGGTGTCACAAGACCCGCAAAGCACAGAGGCCACCCACCTGGTGCAAAATAAAAGTCCCGAGGCGCCACGACTCCTGCATCAAAACAAGAACCTCGTAGAGCACTAAGGCTTCACTAAGGCCCAAACCCTAAGTCCTCCAGCCCATATACACCCCAAAGCACAAAGCCTGTAACCCTAAAACCCCCGCTGCAAACCCTACAACCCCCAACAAAACCCTGTAAGCCATATAAAGCCTATGAACGCCTGCTACACCCTAAACCCTAAATTACCCTATAGCCCTAAACCCTAAACCCTAAACCACTAAACCCCCAGAAAGCTCAAACAGGAACCCATTGGTCGCCCGGAGTTGGACCAAGAGGCTCGGCGGCGCTCCTTCGTGCGCTCCGTGTGACCTGCGGTTTAGGGTTTAGGGTTTAAGGGTTAAGGGTTTAGGGCTTAGGGTTTAAGGTTTAGTGTTTAGGGTTTAGGTTTAGTGTTTAGGGTTTAGGGTTTGGGAATTTAGGGTTTGGGGTTTGGGGTTTCGGGTTTCGGGTTTCGGGTTTAGGGTGGTTCGTGCATTCCGCGAGATGCTCTGATTTTTTGGTCTAGGTAGACCACCCTAAACCGCACGCTAAACCCCAAAGCCCCATAAACGCCAAAGCCCGAAAACCCTATACACCAACCCTAAACCTTAACCCCCGAACCCTAAACCCTCAGCCTAAAGCGTTCGGTAAGTTGTGGGTCAGTCTGGATGGGCTTGAGAAGATAAAGAGTTGAGGGTACGGGAGGCTGCAGATGCGAGGCTCCGGGTGTTGGGCTGGATGTCTTTGATTCATGCCCTGGAGTGTGCAAAACTGGGCAGAAACCCTAGACCACACAGGCTTGTAAGGGTTTAGGGTTATAAGGCTCCCTAAAGCCTATGACCTAAACAAGAACCAAACAATCAGAAGGGACATCTGGAAGCAAACTGGGGTTAAGGACGGAAGGGCTGGGGTTAGGGGCGTGGGTTTGTTGGGTTTGGGGTTTTATGCAAGGAGCCGGCCATCTCGGTCCGCATTCTGGGCCATCTCGGGCCACAAGAACTTAGTTCTCACCTAGCCCAAGCATGGCCTGCAAACCCTAAACTTTACACCCGATTCTTCTCCACACCACCCTAAACCCTAAACCCTAAACCCTAAACCTTAAACCCTAAACCCTAAACCCCAGCTCACCTCAAGCCGTTGGAGGAGGTGCCGTGCTGCGGACGAGGTTGCAAGGCCAGTCCTGCTGATGGGGGGGGGGGGGGCGGGGGGCTTAGGGTTTAGGGTTTAGGGTTTGGGGTTTGGGGTTGGGGCTTAGGGTTTAGGGTTTAGTGTTAAAAAGTCCTCAGATCCCTAAACTCCTGACCAAAAGGGTTTAGGGTCTCGGGATGCGCTCTAGCGGCTAGAGCCCTAAATCTCCCCATCCTTGATGCTCCGAGTCTAGATGCTTGGGGTTTAGGGAGCCCTGAATCCTTACAGGCCTTTCAAAAAGTCTTGCGCGCTTTCGAGTGTACTCAAAAACTTGTTCGTAGAGGCTCTGTAGTATGAAGAAAGAACTTGTACGGTCCCCGATAAAGCGAACCCCAAATAAATAAGTATCCGAACTAAATCTAAAAAACTTATTTTTTGTATTCTGAACTTGAAACAAAACCCTAACCCCTAAACCCCACTGTACGCTCAAACCCTGAAACCCTGAAACCCTGAAACCCTGAAATCCTGAAACCCTGACACCCTCAAACCCTCAGAGCCTCAAAGCCCTCAAACGCCCAAGAGTCGCTCGAACCTCTAAGCCCCCGCCCCCCTTCGCTTCTGTAACATAGGGTCGGGGATATAGACCCTCTGAATAAGGTCCCTCTTCAAAAACCTTCAAGAGGGTCAAGAAGGGTCCCCTTTTGAGGGTCCCCCTTACCCTACCTAGGGTAACGGACTTGTGCCTGGCCTGTCGTCATCATACCGGAAGGAGAGCTCCAGACTCACCTCGAAAACATTGCGGGACGTTGCGAGGCTCCTTTGGGTTCGGGGTTTAGGGTTTAGGGTTTGGGGTGTAGGGTTTAGGTTTAGGGTCAGGATTAGGGTTGTAGGGCTTTCAGGTTGCAGGGTTTTAGGTTGCGGGGTTTCAGGGGCTTATGGGTTCTTTTTGGGTTTTAAGGGTGTAGGTTTTGACGATCAGGGCGTCAAGGTGTTTGGGTTTGGGTGGTTTTCGAAAATGTTGATACCATTTTGCATCAAGAATTATGTGTCGTGGTACCTTGGGGTACAAATCGCAAATGCCCACTTAGCGCTGTTTGGCCACGAGGCCATCGCGGCACAAGGATTTACGCGGGCTGATCTGGGTTATAGGCCCGTTTTGGCACTTTCAACTAAAGGCACACCAGAATCCATGTAGGTGTGCCCGAAACCCCAACTCCTCAACCTGTGAAAACCTCAAGCCCTAAACCTTGAACCCAGGGTTTAGGGTTTAGGGTTTAAAGCGTCGGCCTCAGTGCTGTCCACCAGAGCATGGAAGGTCCGATCTTCCAGGAGGGCGCCCTGCAGCCTCGGAGGGTTTAGGGTTTAGGGTTTAGGGTTTCGGGTTTAGGGTTTAGGGTTTAGGGTTTAGGGTCAGGTCTTAGTTGGGACTTTTGGGGCTGAGGACTTTTGAATTTTGGGGGCTCAGAACACATAAGGCTGCTGATTGAGGGCCGGTGACTTCGGGCTTCGGATGTAGGGTGTGGGATGACCCCAAAGGATGTTCATGACAGACTGCTGAACCCCAAACCCGAAACCCTAAATGCTAAACCCAAAAAGCTTAAGGCCTAAACCTAAAGCTTAAAGGGTTCACGGGCTAAAAAGGGCCAAAGGGTTAAGTTAGGGCTTAGGGTTTAGGGTTGAGTGGCCTCAGCAAAGGTCAACGGAATCTGAGTGTTCAAGTCGGGGCCTCGAACTTGCGCTTAGGGCTTTGGAGTTGTTGGCCCTCGGTGTGCCATTAAGATCCTCTTAAACCCTAAAGCCCTAAACCCTAAACCTTGTAAACGTATTCCGAATAATCATCTTAAACCCCATGAGAGAAACTTCAGCATATCCCAAAGGCTTACCCCGGGGCTTCTTCTAGGATCATGGCAGGCTGGGATAAGGGTTTGGGGTTTACGGTTTGTAGGGTTTGTAGGCTTTATTATAGGGTTTATTATAGGGTTTGTAGGGTTTATAGGGTTTAGGGTTAACCTGGTTTCTAGGGTTTATAGGGATTAGTGTACAGGCTGAGACACGCATTCCGCTGTTCCAGCTCCGTCAGGAAACACTCGGCCAACCTTGGGTGGGAAAGAGAGAGCGTCCTTGGGTGGGAAAGAGAGAGCGTGTAGACCCCATAGCTTGGGCTGTTCCCCCTTGTACTAAGAGTCCTTGATTGGGACTATTCTTATATCCCTATTAAGGACTGACTGTTAGTATAAGGGGGACCATCCCAACCTCTAGCTCCACTTGGCCCTGCGAGAGTGTCAACAGCCTGTGGACAAGGATTAGGTTTTCGGGTTGGGATGTTCTCCCTTATACTACCTATCCTAAATTGGGATTATAGTACCCTATTATGATGCCGATTAAGGACTGTTCGGAAAAGGGGGAACATCCCAAGTTTCGGGTTTACGGTTTACGGTTTAGGGATTAGGGTTGAGGGAGTGGGGGGCAACTTCACAGGCGACACGAGTCCCACCGAAACCAGAATGGTGTGAAGGGCTCCATTAGTTTATGCATTAGCACATGGGCTGACTCGAAACACCCCCCCCCCCCCCACCTCCTCCCCAAAAAACAACAAAACGGCCTTCACAACCACATTGACTGAAGTCATTGAAGCCCAGATCCTAGCCCGGAAGCCCACAAGGCCTTAGCGAAACCCTTGAGACAGAGCAAGGTGCCTGAATTCTTGGGCTGATTCAAGCCTAGCGGCTTCACCACATGGTGAATTCTCGAGTTTAGGGGTTTCGGGTGTCCAGACTTATTGTATGTAGGGTTTATAGGTGTCACTCCACAGGGCTCGACCCGCGGACCCGAACTTTGCTTCTCCAAGTAGCCGCCAGTAGGCCCTCGAGTGGTTCTCCGCGTGGAACCCGCGCTGTGAAGACCAGACCAGGTACACCTCTAGGTTTAGGGTTTAGGGTTTAGGGTTTAGGGTTTAGAGTTTAGGGTCTAGGTTTAGGGTTTAGGGTTTAGGGTTTAGGGTTTAGGGTTTAGGGTTTAGGGTTTAGGGTTTAGGGTTTAGGGTTTAGGGTTTAGGGTTTAGGGTTTAGGGTTAGGGTTTAGGGCTTAGGGCTTGAAGGCTGGGCGCTCAACATCTCCTCACATTCCTGATGTACGTTTGTCCTCAACTCAAGCTGCACAGGCTCAAAAGCCTAAGCCTTAAAATCCCTAGCCGGCCTAGACCCTAAACCCTAAACCCTAAAACCTTAAACCCTAAACCTAAAACCTAAACCCTAAACCCGAAACCCAAAACCCTAAACCCTAAACCCTGAACCCTAACCCCGAAACCCTAAACCTAAACCCTATACCCTAAACCCTCCATTCCCGCAAGCCTTGAGGTATTCCTGGGCTTCGCGGCGCCGGCTCTGACGAAGTCGGCAGCCCCCTCGGGCCAGGAACCTCCACTTCGGGTTTAGGGTTTGGGTTTTGGGGTTTGGGGTTTGGGGTTTGGGGTTTGGGGTTTGGGATTTGGGGTTTGGGGTTTGGGGTTTGGGGTTTAGGGTTTAGGGTTTGGGGCTTAGGGTTTAGGGGTTTAGGGTTTAGGGCTTAGGGGCCTTTATTTTCCTTACCCCCATGGAATCCCAAAAGGCCACGCTGGCGGGCTGTTTAAGTGGGGCCTGTAGGTGGGCTCCGTCTTGCGTGGCTTCGTGTGTTTCGAGTGGGAGGCCGACTTCAGAGCAATGGAGGGAGCAAAGCCAGGCTTCCAAAAAGAATTCAGGGTCCTAGGGCTTAGGGTTTAGGGTTTAGGGTCCTCGCTTAGGCCGCATACCCCGATCGTTAGTTGCCCAGGGATGAGAAAAGGCGCCCCTTTGCTGTTTGATGCGGTTGATAGGAAACCTGACTCAAGAATAGTACTCACAAACAAGATATTACCGACAACCCTCAGTTTTTTTCAGGACAAACGCCTTTGAAAAAATACGTATGCACCACTGTAAAACCTCGACCCCGCGCCCCATATGCACCCCAAGCCAGAATCCCCGCATACATAGACAGCCGAGACTTCACAAGCTTCCTAGACCCCAGATGGGGTTTCCTCAAAACAGGGTGGCCCTTTATAGGCGTTTTTTTTTCATAAGGACTATGACCTGGATGGGGTATATTACCCAGAGGGTCCATTTGTAGTACTACTATGGGATTCGGTACCCAAAAACCAGACTAAATAGGGTTTTGGGGTACCTAATTCCATAGCAGTACAACAAATGGACCCTCTGGGTTAAGGGGGAGGGGGGGGGGACCTCTACTTGTGGAAACCCTGACACCGGGTACAAACCCTAAAACACGAAACAAACCACGACGGATCCGAGGCGCGGTTCCGGAAGTGTGGGATCCAAGGCTATGGCCTGGCAAATGGGACAATTCTTTTACGAAGTGGGGGCCTTTAGACTAGCCACACACCTGGAGAACATGATGTTTCGGGAGACGGGGTCTGTCGTGTAGATGTGTTGCCCTGGGCTTCCTTTTAGGGTTTAAGGGGGTATCTAGACCCGGGAGTAACCTAGGAACAAAAAGGGTACCCTTGTTGGTGTAAGGGGATTGTGAGGGAAACCCAACCCTACAAAAATGAACAACAAAAAATGGAAGAAGGGCCTACTCTCGGTCCTAGGTATAGAGTGGCTCAGCCACGACACGAGCCGGCAGGAGCCGAAGTAACCCATATTCATCCACACGACATCCGGAACCCAGGAACAAACCCTAAGCCCACCTTGCACCCTAAACCCTAAACCCTAAACCCTAAACCCTAAGCCCTAAACCCTAAACCCTAAACCCTAAACCCTAAACCCTAAACCCTAAACCCTAAACCCTAAACCCTAAACCCTAAACCCTAACCCTAAACCCCAACCTAAGCCGTAAAATCCCGAGCCAGCCTAGACCCTAAACCCTAAACCCTAAACCCTAAATCCTAAACCCTACACCCTACACCCGAAACCACCCTGGACGTGGTACTGGACCATATTAAGGGCCCATGAAACTACTCTCAGAAAGAAGGAGTCGCCATAAACCCCCATGCCGCCCCAAAACCGCCCTTGTTCAAGGCCTGCCCACACGCCAAGTCTAAGCCTGCAGGGCTGGGTTGGGGGATTGGAGTTTAGGGTTGAGGGTTTGGGGTCAGGGGTTTCGAGTCTGGTTGCTTGGGCGGTTAGGCTTGTGGCTTGGGGCGTTGAGACTTGGCCTGTCGTGTTAATAAGGGCACCCCGGGGGCCCCTTCTGACCTTAAATGAGATGTTGTGAAAAGAATCCGTGCCTGGGCGTGGGCCCAGGGATGTCTGTTGGAGTTTCAGGTTCTTTTTGCGGGGGGGAGGGGACTGAGGCTTGTGTTGGTGGGTCAGGAACAGGGATTTTGGGATACAAGTTTGCAGACACAGGGCAGTGGGAGTCCAGGTGATTTCAGAATCCAACCTGTCCTCTCAGAACCCTACCAGCTCGCCCTAAAGTTCAACATCGGAGGTAGGGGCTGTGAATCGGGCTTTGGGGATCCTGCATATTTTTCGGGGGGTCAAGGAAGCCTAGCTTCTCCTCTTGGGAAGCCCCAGATCATCTTGGCTCCGAGATCTCTGCACCCCAAACCTCTAGCCCGCAACCCAGACGAGAGTTTACGACATCAGGGGCAACCCTTTTGGGGTCCTTTTAGAAGGGATCCTACTATTTGGGGTTTGGGGTCCCTTGTGATCGTAAACCCCAGACAAGCGGCCTGCCAGATCACCCACCTCCTCACACCGCTTCCTGAGCTCGAAGTGGCGTTCGGGGTAGACAGAATTGGAAGGCTCAGGGCACGGCAGGCTACGTGGTTCACGTAAAGGGTGCTTCGGACATGGGTTTTCTTGCACCTGAACGAGTTAAGACGTACACAGAAAAGGGGCTCGGCAAGTTAGCGAGTACATACTTCTATATATATATATGTATACTTGCTTTTTTCAATTGGTTTATTCATTCATTCATTTGCAAATTTATATTCACATACTTTAGTATACTTAGTATGCTTAAGAGAACACCCCGCCCTCAAATTGCCCTAAACCTCACTGAAGTTGCCAGTCCAGGAGGCACCGCCGCCAAGGCTTTCGCGACCCGCTGCCCGCGCCCAGCGCAGGTCTCCATGCATGCGTCGAAGAGGCCTCCGGAACTATCAAAAGACGCCTTTGCTCCTCAAACCCAACCCCCTGTGATACTGTACCAGACCTTGAATTGAAGGTACCTACCCACCCCCCCCCCCCCCCCCCGCCCTCGTTTTTTTCGAGCTTCCTTCGAAGGCCCTGAAGAACAAAGCCCGCTGACATGCGCTGGCCCTCTCGACTATCAGACTGGGCGCTGCGTGCCCCAAGCCCTAAACCCTAAACCCTAAAACCCTAAACTGTACGAAGAGGCTTGAAAGGGAAGGGGATGAGAACATGCCGAAGACCTGAAACCGGAAGCTTTAACCTGTATGAGCCCGGGTGTCAAGCTGAGGGATGATCTGCAGCCGAGCCGCCGTACTCACTCGGGGGAAGGTCGAGATTGACGCCTGAGTCTTGTCACTTTGATTGTTCCTTGAGGGGAATAGGCCGATGATAGATAAGGGTGTTGGGATCAGCCTGTTGTTGAGCTTCATGTTGCAGATGGACTTTTCTGAGATTTCAAGTGCGAGGAACCCAAAAACACTGTTAAGTGCATGAACGCTGCCCGTGTAGAGTAGCGGCGTCCCGATGCGAAACTCTTAAGGGGTCACCGGCCACAGTTAAAAAAATAATTTACTTCGAACATCCTCACCCTCTCTTGATAGAGATACTCTAGGGTTGGGCACTCCGGGGACACTCTGGGGTTGGGCACTCCAGGGAGCTCCAATGAGACTCTGGGGTTGGGCACTCCAGGGAGACTCTGGGGCTGGGCACTCCAGGGAGATTGGGCACCAGGGAGACTCTGGGGTGGGCACTCCGGGGAAACTCTGGGGTTGGGCAATCCAGGGATGAGCGGGCGAGGAGAAGAGTTCCGGGCGAGGAGAAGAGTTCTGGGCGAGGAGAAGAGTTGAGTTTAAAATCTAACAACCCCACACTGAGGGTGGGGAAAAAGGGGCCTGAATAATTAGCATAGGGTTTTGGGGGGGGGAATTTCTTGTATCATAGTACAAAGGGACCATAAGGGAATATTCCTCGTAACTATTCCGACCCCTATAGTATGCGGAAGTCCAAGTATAGGCAACCGGCAGGGCGCCGCTACCTTCGGAACGTGCACGCACAGAGACCTTGAACCTAGCAGCTGCTACAGCCGAACTGCAGCAAGCTCTGAGCCCTGCCTGTCAACTCCTAAACCCTAAGCCTAAACCCAAAACATCTAACCAGCTACCAAGAAGGAAAGAAGCCTTCATGAAGCCCTGTCGGCCATGTACACGGCTTCAGAGTCTGTAGGGTCATCAACAGTCTAAACCCTCACAATTGACCTAGGTCACAACCCCTATCATCCTTGCCAGGACTTTATTCTGCGGGTTTGCGTGTTGCACCCTCATCGCTGTCAATGGGGTTTTACGAAATAGGGAACCCGGAAATACTACGATCCCCTTATAATTCGGACCAAAATAAGGTATCCCGAATATCGTAAACCCCCAAATAAATGGCTTTGAGTTCCCGCCGAACCTTATCCCTAAGCCCATGAGCCATCCCGCCTGAGTCCTAAACCCTGGGAGAAAAAAGCGCAAAACTCTGATCATCCTGAACTCAAATTAAGGTGGCACTCCTATAAACCCCGCCCGAAACCTGAAACTTGTACCTCCCGGGAGCTTTGAAGAGCTCCACATCACCCTAAGCCCAAGGAGCGCGAGCTGCAAAGACCGCACAAGGCGCCTTGGGGCAATTTCTCGAGAGTTCTATGTTGTATAGTCTGTTCCTTGCCAAACAAAGGCCCATGTTTCTCTGAGTGCCCTGATCCTAAACCCTGGGCCCTAAACTCTAAACCCTCAACACCACGCACTACATTCTACACCCTAAATAAGCACTACATTCGAAACCCCAATATACACTGCATTCGAAACCCCAAATATACACTACATTCTAAACCTTACATATACACTACGTTCGAAACCCTAAATAAGCGCCTTCGGGCGTAGGGTTCTACGGTTGTATCGGAGACCGTGGGGTCAGTTTAGGAACAACCTGCAAGCTGCCAGCGCAAGTTAATGTGCTCTCTGAGGTCCGGTCAAATTTTTGTAAGGAGGGTTTAGGGTGTAGGGTTTAGGGACTTTGGGTAGGAAGGATATACTGTCTGTCTGCACGGACCAGGCCTTCGGACATCAAAGCAGAAACAGAAAGAAGAGAGGGTCAGCCCTCTGAAATAACCCAAGATCTAAGGGTCCGAACTATACCTAAAAGGCACCAGAGAACTAAGCTAGGATGGCCCTTACAACCCTCTGAAACATATTCCTGAACATGATCTTCTTAAACCCAATAAGGGAAAATATGAAATATTCCAAGGGCCTACCTAGTTTAGTAAACCCTAAACCCTAAACCCTAAACCCTAAAGCCTAAACCCTAAAACCCTAAACCCTAAAACCCTAAAACCCTAAAACCCTAAAACCCTAAAACCCTAAAACCCTAAAACCCTAAAACCCTAAGCCCGACTGGTACATCATTGCATCCTGGATGCAGGTGAACTTGGCATAGGCCGTCCGGAGGGTGGGCATGGAGAGCAGAGCGGGACCTTTCACAAACGGGGCTGTCTCTGCAACAAGCCTGTGATTATACCTGTAAGCTGCAAACAAAATATTTGGGGGGTGTACGGTCTTAGGGGTACCTTATTGGAGTCCGAATTTTCAGGGGATCCTACTACTTGGGGTCTATTTTAGGGGTCCCCGCCTATTTTCGTCAACTCCCATATTCTGCATACATGTCAGAGCTGCGGGAGGGATCACAGTGTTGAAGTGTGTGCGAGTGGGTGCTTTTTTTTGGTAGGCTACCGAAGAACCTTGATGTTGTGAGGGGCTTTTGCCAGGAAGATCCTACCAAAAGCGTAGGTTTAGGGCTCCCTAGGATTGGCCCCGCGTAAAAGCCTCTGGAAAATATTCCTAAATATGATCCTCGTCTAAACCCAACAAGGGAAAATTTTAAAATGGCGCCAGGGTCTACCGAGTAGTTCTTAAAGCAAGGATAGCTTGCTAAACCCTAAAACCTAAACCCTAAACCCTAAACCCTGAACCCTGAACCCTAAACCCTAAACCCTAAACCCTAAACCCTAAACCCTAAACCCTAAACCCTAAACCCTACTTAAACCCCAAACCGTAGGATGGTTCTACAGGTCGGGTGCAAAAGCCAGGGCACTTCCGTCTCGCATCATCTCCGCAATCTTGGGATGCATGTCTCCAAGGGTCTCTACACCGGGCACCTCACCGAACAAAACAAACAAGGCTTTAGGGTTTAGGGTTTAGGGTTTAGGGTTTAGGGTTTAGGGTTTAGGGTTTAGGGTAATTGGTTGAGGCTACAGGCCAAATGGGCTCAAGGGTCTGCATGGAGCTTTAGGGTGTAGGCTGATTCTGAGCCCGGCTCCCATCTACAAACCCACACCCAAGCTCTTCCGTCCCGACTCAGAGAGCCCTTATAACGCCCGAACACAGAGCTGAAAGCCCCAACAGGCCTGAAAGAAGTCCTGAACAACAGATGCTCTTAACGCAAACTGGCTGGCTCTTAGTAGGGAAGTTGGGAATTTGCTAGGTTGTGTAGGGGTATGATGACAGGGTACCTAATTCCCTAGTTCCCTTTCAAGAGCTGCTTGGTTCATGCTTTAATCCCAAGCCCTAAACCCGAAACCATGAAACCCAAAACCCTAAACCCCAACCGTAAACCCTAAACCTTAAACCCTAAACCCTAAACCCTAAGAAGGACGACTAACCTCCAAGGAAAAGGAGGGACCTGCTGTCCGCCGCGCGTACGGCTGCTGAGTTCGGAGAGCCTGGGGAAGCTGGGGGATGAAGGGAGGGGGTTCAGGGTTTAGGGTTTAGGGTTTAGGGTTAGGGCTTAGGGCTGAGGGGTTTTGGTTAGTTAGGTTTTGTAGGCTCACTCTCGCAACTGAGGGTTGCGGCGCCACGGCGAGCCCACCCCCCCCTCCCCCCCACCACCATAACCCAAAGCCTACAATCCAAATCACTAAGCAACGTCCCTAAACCCTAAACCCTAAGCCCTAAACCCTAAACCCTAAGCCCTCAACATGGCCTCGTTGAATCCCAACGGGAAGCAACAGCTCGAAGGAGCAGCCAAGAAGCAAAGTGGTGGCTCCAGGAGCATCCACAAGCAGCTCCTGCAACCACCAAAGGGGGGTCTCAGAGAGAGGTTTAGGGTTTGGGGTTTGGGGTTTGGGGTTTGGGGTTTGGGGTTTGGGGTTTGGGGTTTGGGGTTTAACCACCAAAGGTGGTCTAAGAAAGAGGGCATAGGGCCGTTTTTCTTTTTTTTTATGGGTGAGGGCCCAGGGTTTGTGAGCTTGGACTTAGGGCCCTAAGGTCTTTGGGTTTAGGGCTTAGGGCTCAGTGATTCGGGAACAGGACTTCTAGGGCTTAAGGGCAAGCTACTACTTTCAGGGGGGCCCAACACATCCCAAAGAAGACCAACAGCTTGTACAGAGTTTGCCATGCAATTAATTTCGGTAACATGGTGGGGTATGAACATGGAAAGTCTGGAGTGGGACTTGCGGCACGGAGTCTCTGATTTTGCGTCCGGGGCTCCGTGAGAATGGATCGGAAGGACTGGCAGGCCCCTGACAACCTATGAGAAAGATTCGTACGCAAGATCCTCTTGAAGCCCAAAATGAAAAATGCCCCAAGGGTCCACCTAGCACGTTGCATACCAAATGTTGCAAGTCTGTGGGGAAGGGTTTTTGTTGAGGTACAGCTTACAGGTGCCTTAGTACTTAGAATAGGGTTTTGGGGGTTACTAGAGTTTAGCTACAATCGGACCATAAAGGAGTACCACCAGCAACTATTAGACCCCTATACTACATGCGGGTCTTCTTGGCTACGAAATGTCCTCCATGACGTTCGTCCACCGGATCGCTGACACTGCCAAGGCCACATCCACATCTGCAAGGGCGACTGGGGGCACCCTTAATACAGCCTATAATCCCCCCTAAATCCTAAACCCAAAATTCTGCGATCCTACTAAACCTTGAACCCTAAACCCTAAACCCTAAAACCCTAAACCCTGTAAACCCTAAATGCTGTGGTTCGGCTCATCCCAAGGCTCGAAACACTATAACATAGGGGCCTTCAGAACTAGAATAGGGTTTGGGCGGCCCCATTATAGTAGAGTTCTAAAGAAACCGTAAGGGGATACCATAAGTAATTATTCCGACCCCTATAGTAAGCGGATACTTTATAGAAGCCCTTAGACCCTCTGCAAAAAAAATATTCCCGAAGATGATCCTCTTCAACTCCCAGGGGCCTGCCTCGTTAGGAAACACCCCACATGACAAAAGCAATGCCTGCCACATCCTGGACAGCGGCATCTGCATCTCGCCATTGGAGCTCGTTCTGGTCCTGACATGTGCGGGCGGTTTCGGGTTTAGGGTCTAGGGTTTAGGGTTGAGGATTTGTCCTACGCGAGCCCCTAAAAACTGACGCCTGGAGGCGTCATGGTTAAGGCGCAGATCTTGGGGTGGGGGTATCGTGTCAGCTGCAGAATGATAGGCATGTTGTCCTGGTGATGCCTTGCCGACACGCCACCAACATCAATAAGAACTCCTCCTAGGATAAACGGCATCTTCCTCTCTGTACTGGAACATCCACCCGACATGTATGTGGGCGGCTGCTGGCTGGTTTAGGTTTAATTAGGGGGCATTCCAGACCCAAAGTTTTTCAATTAGGACAGGGCAGCAGGAGAAAGAGACTGTCCTCCATGACTGCAACCCTCATCATGGTCATCGTGCTGAATCACACGCTCCCAACCCCCCAAAACCCCACTGCATCCCCACAATCCTAAACACCCCATGACCCCCCCTTGTGAAAAAACCTAAAGCTTCTCACCCCAACACCCTGTTCAAACTTGGCAGCGCACCGTGCAATGCGGCTTCCTGTCGCACCAGGCAGGTTAGGGTGTTCTTCTAGGATGGCCCTTAAAACCCTCTGACAAAAATATTCCGAAATATGATCCTCTTAAACCCAATAAGGGAAGCTAATTTAAAGGATGTCCCAAGGGCCCACCCAGTATAGGGTTTCATCAGCTCATTCATCTCAGGGCGAGGCAGGACAATCAAGCCAACAGGATATTCAAAGGTTCAAGACGCAAACCCCTTCACGCCCGAACATCCCCGCAATAGGGGCCTCAAGAATTAGAGCAGAGTTTTGGGAGTTACAACAGAAAAAATTAGTAATAATTCCGACCCCAAAATTAAGTCCATGTTCGTGGAGCGAAAAAAGATGAGGGACCTCAAGTTCTGGTGATCAATGGTTGCCTGGTTGCAGGCGGTCCGCTGGTCCTGAGCCTCATCGAGCCCTAAGTCCTACGTACCCAAGCACCTAGCCCTAAACCCTAAACCCTATGAACCCTAAAACCCTAAACCCTAAACCTACACAACGCCATAGGACCACAGGAACGGACCCCTCAATTGCCTCGTCGCTGGGCTTGGCCATACCAGCAGGGCATCGACTAGCAACAGCCGCCTGAACCTTGGGCCGCTGTGGTCCGATGGGTGGCTTTTGTGGTTTAGGGTTTAGGGCTAGGGTTTAGGGTTGGCGGTTTAGGGGTTAGGGGTTTAGGGTTACGGGTTTAGGGTTCCAGGAATCATCCGGAGCCTAATGGAGAACCGGCGCAGAAGCCCCGATGTAAGTCGTGGTCCTCGTTGGAATCAGGATAGAGGGCAGCTTTGAAGGTAGCATGGGTGATTTGATAAGGAATCCCCTCCTCCCCTAGTGCTAACTGGGCACCTTCTTCGGTCCTTGCTATTGCTATGATAATGGTTATGCCTGTATATATATATATATATGTGTATAGTTGTTTATTTATTTAGTACTGAATATGTATTCATTTATTCTTTTGTTCATTTATGTACATACACACACACATATATATATATATACAGATGTGTGTATACATATGTTGATAGTTGTTTTTGTTTTTTGGTTGGGGGGTAGGGGGGGCTGGGCACCTTCTGCTTAGGGGGAAAACGCAATTTGCTCCAGTCCAAGCAGCTCCGGCGGGAGGAGGTCCCAGCATTCCTCGGGCGCAAGGCACAGGCTCACGAGGGGCCCGTGCAGTAGGCCTAATCCCTAAACCCTAAAACCTAAAACCTAAACCTTAAACCTAAACCCTACACCCTGCACCCTAAACCCTAAACCCAATTTTAAGATTTCTGAGCTTGTAAGTCCACACGGCCTTGAACCCTCGATCCCCCTGTGGACACCTTAGCCCCTTTCTGAGCCTAACCCCAAGCCCCTAAACCCTAAACCCTAAACCCTAAAACCTAACCCTAAACCCTAAACCCCTAAAACCGTAAACCCCTTAAACCTATCAACCTGAGAAACCCCTACAATCCCTCAGGGCAGGCCAAGCGTCTGCTGGAACGATCGACTGGGGCGGCTCATCTGCGTCGCCAGCCATCGTGGCCGTTCCATGGTGCCCAGGCGGCTGAAGGACTCTAGTTAGGGTTTAGGGTTTAGGGTTTAGGGTTTAGGGTTTGGGATTTAGGGTTTGGGGTTTGGGGGTTGGGGTTTAGGGTTTAGGGTTTGGGGTTTAAGTACATGAAGCCGTGGGCTGCGGTTTGGGCACGGCCAGGTTGTGCAGAACTTGGGGTTTATGGTTTTGGGCTTGGGGTTTGGGTTTACGGCTTAGGGCTTGAGGTTTGGGGTTTAGGGTTTAGGGGGGGTTGAAGGTGGAGCTTAGGATTGAGGCATGAAACGGAGGGAGCGCAGCCCTGAACCCTATTACAATAGGGGCCTTCATGACTAGAACAGGGTTTGGGGTTTAGGGTTTAGGGTTTAGGGTGGTGAATAGGGTTTTGGGGTCATTATAGTCTATTTGCCTAGGGACCCTAATTAGGGCGGATTAGTAATTCTTCCCTCCCCTATATTAACCCGAACTGAACCTGCGAGAAAAGCTGAAAAGCCTGGGCCTCTAACCTGATTAGGATTGTGCATTAACCCTGCACCCTGTATCCCGACTACACTGGCAATTTCATTTCTTCCTGCGTACGACCGCTGGCAAGCGCCCTGCAGCAAGGTCAGAAGAGGCTCATCACCTGCCCAGAGAAGCTTCGGGCCAATTTCGGGATCTGAAATCCCAACCCTAAAGCCCTGGCCTTAACCCGACAAAAGCTAGCTTCAAAACCCCAAACCCCACCGCCGAAAGATGGGTACTGCGAGTTGGAAGCCCTTAAAGGTGACAGGCTGCACACGAAGCCAAGCCCCAAACCCTAAACGCTGAGGCTCTGCAGTCGAAGTCTACCCCTTGTACTAACAGTCCTTAATAGGGATTGCAATTAGGGGGTACTATAATCCCTATGAAGGACTGTTAGTATGTTAGTATAAGGGCGAACATCCCAATGTATGCACCCAGATCCGAGGCTTGAAACCCAAAGCTCCAGAGACTGAGCGCATCTTCCAATTGCATGCATGACAGATGCTTCTGCTCCGGCATCAATGAAACGCGATGCTGCAACCATCTACGAGTAGCATGACACCCGGCAATCCCCCCGCCCCCCCCCCACACCTGAACCCCAAAAGGCCCGAATTAGGCTGCAGTCCGAAACCCTGAAAACCTGAAAGCCTGAAAACCTGAAAGCCTGAAAACCTGAAACCCTGAAACCCTGAAACCCTGAACCCCGAAACCTAAAGCCCTCGACCAAGACCAAGAGAAACCACGAGCCCAACCTGCTCGTAGACGCAGAAAATCAATGCAGAGCCCGGGCCAAGGCGTGCTACCTAGGGTTTTCGGGTTCAAGGTTTTAGGGGATTCGGGTTTAGGGTTTCAGGGATTAGGGTGCGCGGTTTAGGGTTTAGGAGGGGTCTTGGGGGGCTTAGGGGTTAATGAGGGTTTGGGGCTTAGGGATGTGTGGGGATTGCAAAATTCTTGCGAGTCTCGGGCTGTCCTGAAGGCAAAATCGTGTTCTCCTACAGGGCCAGCAGGCACCAAGGGTTTTGGGCACCTTCAGCCAAAACAACTCCCAGCAAGCACCCAACCACATGCGAGAGTGATCTCACACATGGGCTTTGCGTACCCGAGGAATAGACTGTATCATGTACAGACCCCAGAATGGGCGCATAAGCATCAAATCGAAACCCGAAACCCTGAACCCGAATGACCAAGGACCATGCGAAAATGAAGACCTCAATCAAGCCTAAAGGTGTTGAACGCCCCCACCTTGGCCACGTAGCCCTTGTAGAGGCCCAAGAGCCTGGCGACCAAGGCTACAGAAACCCCGAGAAACCAGAAGGTTTAGGGCTGAGGGCTTAGGATTTGGGCAATTCCCAGGGGTACCCCTTTATACCCCAAATAGAATTTGAATAGAAGCCTCTTCAAGGGACCCCCTAAAGCGTGAGCCCCTCTTTTCACCAAAACGCTTTCAATTGGGCAGTTATATCACGCTTGTATGCGGAACTTGGGGATCCCTCACTGCACAAAAACAAACATAATTATAAGGAGTATTCTAGAGAATCTCCAACACCCTTGGGCGCTTGCAAGGGGATTCTTGGCGGGAGGTGCCTAAAACCCAAAACCCAAAAACCCAGAATACGGAACCCTAACCCTAAACACTAAACCCTAAACCCTGAACCCTAAACCCTAAGCCCTAAACCCATAGCCCATAACCCTTATATCAACCCTAAATCCGCAGCAGGGTCGCTGAGTGCCCTGCCCATCCCGCCGAACCAGTTCGGAGAGAACAGCCGGCAGGGAGGTGGGCCCAGCCGCAAATTCCTACAAACACTAGGGGGCTTAGGGTTTAGGGTTTATAGGGTTTAAGGTTTAGGGTTTAAGGGCCAATGACAAGATTTATTGAGGTTTAGTACTCGGGGTATAGGAGGCAGGGGATTTAGGGGCTAGGACGCGCAGGATCGAGTGCTTTGGGTTTGCAGCTTGAGGCTAATTTGGGGGGCTAAAAATTGTTAGAATAGGGTCTTGGGTGAGTATAGTATATATATCTATATATATATATAGGGACCATAAGGGAATGCTATTCGTAATTCTTCCGACCCCTACATATTACATGCAGGTCTGACATCGCCGAGTAGGATAGCCCTATGGGCTCTTCTCCGCAAACGCTCTTCGTGAAATGTTGCTCCTGGAAAAAAGAACATGAAAGGGACCATGACTCCGAATCACCCAGCCCCCTCCTCCCCCTTCAACCACTGTGTCTGAAGCCATGTGCATGCGTTGGGTTCTGGGCCTTGCCGGCAGCATGGCTGGATAAGGCGCTGGCGGCAACCACCTACCAAGCGCTGAGCACTGGATGGCCCAAGCCAGCCGAAGATTAGAAAGGGGGTGCGCTCTAAACCCTAAACCCTAAACCCTAAACCCTAAACCCTAAACCCTAAACCCTAAACCCTAAACCCTAAACTTTCTGTTTAAGTGCTTAACTGGGCAGCCTAGAGTCCTAGGGTGAATCAGTAGGGGAGGGAGGGTGGTGTAGGATTAGTTGGGCGAAATGAAAAAATCGAGGATCTACAAGAGTCACAAGAGTTCTGGGGGGCTGCTGTAGCCTACTTTCTTGATCCACGCTATTCTTGCGCATGCATGCGCGGAACCTAAACCCGCAACCCTAAACCGTAAAACCTAAACCCTAAACCCTGAACCGTAAACCCTAAACCCTAAACCCTAAACCCTAACCCAAAAACTCTAAAATCTAGAGTCAGCAGCTTGCCTGCGAATGCGGGCAGCCTGGGATTCGAAACGCCCCAAACCCAGCAAGCGCAGCCCTAGGCACCCAAGGTACCTGTTGTCGAGTTTTGACCACATCAAACGGATTGTTTGCGGTTGCAGCTGCACCTGGGCACAAGGAAGCATCAGCAACTCCGATGAATCCACTGCACCCCTAAACCCAAGAGTCTAAACCCTAAACTTGAGATGTTGCCCCTTCTACTAGCAGTCCTTAACAGGGGGTACTATAATCCCTTCAGGACTGTTAGTATATGGGGGAACATCCCAAGTTTCAAAACGTCAGTTAGTCTTTTTTGTTTATCTCCACCCCTGCTTGTATTTGACCCCCACCCCCCCACCCACCCACCCAACAAACAACATTCCGCGGAATATTATTCTATTCAGTTACTGGAATTATCTATGATTACAAAAGGTTGGGGCAGCTAGGTATCAGGGCAGGGGATTAGACAGGGGTGATTTTGGTTTTTGTTTGTATTCCTTTCTTATTTATCAGGTAAAGCCGCAGAGTCTCCCCTTTCCGGTTTAGGGCTGTCTTCGAAAGCTGGGAATTTACTATGAATTGCTTAAGAACCCCCCCATAAAAGAAAACTATTCCTCCTCAGAAGGGCAATATAGGGATTATTAGTATATATATATATATATGTATTTTCTTGAGGGGGGGACGTTCTGAAGCAAATAGGATTCTAGCAAACCCTAAGAACACTTGCTCGAAAACAACTCCATGCTGAGGTCGCTGCAGCCAGCGACGAAGCCAGACAGCAAATCCTCGGTTTAGCATTGGTGTCAAACCTGCATATCCAGTAAACCCTTTCCAAGCAGCTAAACAAGCCGAGACGATGAAGCCCCTAAACCCTAAACCCTAAACCCTGAACCCCAAACCCCAAATCCTAAAGCCTAAACGCTGAACCTGGCATGGGTCCCGTGAGGCTGCACGCATCTTTCCCTGTGTCTGCGAGAGGGCGCTCTGTCTTCAGAGAATAGTTGAATAGCCTCCTTTACCTTACATGACGCCGATCTTCGTGGTTAACTCTGCCCCATGACGTCACTCCAAAGCGATCTCTTGAACCCGTGTGGCTACTTTGGGTTTAGGGTTTAGGGTTTATGGTTGGACTCAACTGATTGGCCATGATACGTGACGAATATCCAACGGAACGAAAAGCCACAGGGACAGCCGCAGCATTCCTAAGAAGGCAACCCAGCAAACTGCCGATCAGAAAGGTGGCAACTTTAGTCGTGTTCATGAGCGCCACAAAGACAAGTTGAAGCCATTCGGGGCCATCCCAGAAGGCGATCTTGAATAGAACAGCTTGCATTATGCTGATGCTTCGCTTCTTCTTGAGGAAATCCAAAGACCAGCGGATAGTAAGCAGCGCAGTCCGCTCTACGCTCATCCTTGCATCGTCTGCAAGCATGCTAAAGGGGCTATGGCGATTAGCTATCTTCTTGTTGTAGCCAGATTTAAGCAGCAAAGAAGAGAAAGCCGAACAAGCTCTTGGCACAACATCTGGTCGCTGGCTATGCCTGGGGCTTCCGAGCTTTGTGAGAAGACTGTGGACATGTAAGCCCTGTTCATCAAGATATTAAAAAAAAAACACAGTGCATCAAATGTTGAACGAAGTCAAGCGTTTTGGCGGCACGCCGAAACACAGTCGCCCATCTTCAGGATGTGTCAAAGGTCGGAAGGCGTTAGAGACATGCCTGGCCCCCGTAAGCCCGAAAAGCAAGCCCGAAGAACACATCACCTTGAACCGGAATCCCTAAACCCTCTAAACCTCACCCTCTAGACCTCAGAATGCCGATAAAACCTCCCCCCCCCCCCCCCCCCCCCAAGCCGAACATTGCAGCCAAGGCTCCCAGGCTATTCGCTGTAGCCGGTCTTGGCCCTGGCAATGATAGCTCGGTTTAGGGTTTAGGGTTTAGGCTTTAGGGTTTAGGGTTCAGGATTTAGGGTTTAGGGTTTAGGGTTGGGAAAACGACTCATCGCACGAGAAGTGGTAGCTGGTGACGGAGTGCTATCCCGCATTCTCAGCATCCCTGTATCTCCAGGTTACGACCCCAACCCCCACACAACCCCACCCCCCCCACCCCCCCTCCCCGGTTTCTTGCTGATCTTTCACAGCAACCCTAAACCCTAAACCCTAAACCCCAAACCCTAAACCCTAAACCCTAAACCCTAGAGAGAGAGAGAGAGAGAGAGAGAGAGAGCGAGGGCGGGCCTGAGGGGCAAACTTCTTCGTCTCGTGGAAGGCGGCGAAGTAAAAGCCTTCGGCGACGAAAGCTGCGGCTTTAGGGTTCAGGGTTAAGGGTTTAGGGTTTAGGGTTTAGGGTTTAGGGCACCCAACGCCCATTGCTGAGCTGCTAAGGCTTAGCCTGCGCGGGGCTCAGTTTTGAGAGCTTGAAGGCTTGTTTGTTGTAAGGCTTGGGGGCTTATTGCCCAAATTTTTTTCTCCAGGAATTGGGGTTCAAAGAGCTTACAGGGCTTGGAGGTTGATAGGGTTGAGGGATTCAGCCCTCTGCTGCTTGATCCGACATCCTCGACCATCGCGAGGTTTGATTCAGTATCCTTGAACCCTAAACCCTAAACCCTACACCCTAAACACTAAACACTATAAGCCCGTAAAAGTCCTAAACCCTAAACCGCCTCAAACCGTAAACCCCGACCCCTCTAGGACCCGGGCAGGAGTGGGCAGTGTGCTTTGCCACAGTAGCCCCAAGGCCGGCGTACCTCAGCTTCCATAGTTTAGCGTTTAGGGTTTAGTAAAGTTTAGGGCTTCGGGTTTGGGGTTTGGGGTTTAGGGTTTGGGGCTCAGGGTTTAGGTGTTGAGCTGCGAAAGTCAGGGCACTTTTCTTTTCTCCAGATCGCGGAAGGACTCAACACCCGCCCTAAACCCTAAACCCTAAGCCCTAAACCTCGGCCCCCAAAGCCGTCGTCTGTGCTTGTGGAATGCCATCAGAAGTCTATCACGGGCTTAGGGTTTAGGGTTCGTGAGATTTGCCGGGTTAGTACTGTAAAAGGGTGAGTCGGGATGGCACCGTTGATTGTGGGGCATGTGGCGTATTGACTCACGAAGCGGCATGCGGGATCTCAACTACCTGGCAGTCCACTACAGTACCAGCTCCAAAGAAAGATCGGCATTCCGTGACCTAAATATCAAGGAAACAAAGTCTTCGAAAGGCCCCATCCATGAGTGCTGATGCTGGTAAACGGCCCTCACCCTTGCCTGACGAACCGCTGGCAGTTCGATCAACATGACTCCTACACTCATCGACTCCCAGCTTCCTTGCAAACTTTCACAGGTCCCATGGCTTCAATGGAGACCCGCACCTTCTTGCTGTAGCGTGGCACCGGACGGCACAGCTTTATCGAGCCTTTCCCTGCACCTTTCATGCCCAGCCCGGGTCCGGTGTCCAATCTCACTGTATCGTCCAAAACCACACCAATGGGCGCCCCGCTGTATCCAAAGTCACCATCCTCACCACACAGTTCGTCAAAACTGAGTGTCACCTTATGCGAAGCTGCATGAACAACAGTCTCTGGCAACTTCAGCTTTTTGAAGAAGTCTGGCTGATTTGTGTAACCTGACAAGTACATGCCCGCAGCATATGGATATTCGTCATCAGTCCACCACCATGCATCTTCCGATTCTTCGAAGTTCGTGTTGCCTACCTGCCATACCCAACGAAACTCAGGTGTTTCGCGGGCAGACAGGCCATGGAATCTCATGCTCACTTCCTGGTGCTGGCCGGGCACCAACTCTTCGCAAGATATCTGGCAGGAGAATTCCCATTGATCTCCCGACGCCTGAAATGCCATGGTGCTTGGCACGTGTGGAGTGCCATGCCAAGTCTGGACAGCTTGCAGCCAGCTACGGGAGGAAGATACCAGACAGGAAATGGCTCGCCAGCAACAGAGGTCCAATATCTTCATTCTCACCTCCCAACTACGCAATAGCTCCACACGCCTCTCCATCAGGCCCGTGCAGCCTGGGTTGCTCTGAGTGGCGCAGCGTCTTACGGATTGAATGTTCAACATTTACACAGTTTGGTTCTATGATGTTCCATCCAAGAACAGCCATCTCGTCTGGAGGAACCGCATGTGATAGTCACGATGAAGCCGACAGGAATCCTACAATGTATGCGTGTGAAGATGGTCTGACCAGTACTGCCATGTGCTGCAGAACCACATCTAACGCAAAACAAAATGATTCTGATACTAAGTTCGTATAGAGAGAGAGAGAAGGAGAGAGAAAGGCGAGAGAGAGAGAGAGAAAGGGAGAGAGAAAGAGAGAGAGAGAGAGAAGGAGTCTCACTAGTTACGTGCGGCACCATGTCTCATGATCTTGTCTGCTTGAAGATCGCCCGAGGTCTCCAACAGGGCGCTGGACATCGGTGGCCCGGAGACGCCCCAAACGGAATGAAGCACCATACCCAAGACCCTACAACCAAGCCATGAAACCCTAAGAGCCCCTAAAACGCCCCAAATTCAAAAGAACCCTAAGAACCCTGAAGCCCTAAAACTCCTCAAACCCTAAAGGCCCCTCCGCCCCCTAACCCCCCCACCCAAAAAAATCGCAAAAAACAAATGAAGCAACAAGCCCTGAGAGTGTCGGCTGAGGTGCAGGGATTGGATACCACCGTTTCGAACCATAGCCTGGCTTTGGCTGGATGAGTCTTCTAGTTACAGGGCTTGTAGGGTATAGGCTTGTAAAGGGGTTCATAGGGTCTATAGGGTTTTTAGGGTTTAAAGGGTCAAAAAGGGTTTTACGGGGTTTATTAGGGGGGAGGTTTTAGGGATGGTTTCGGGATTTTCGAGGTTTTGGGCTGACGCCTTCGAGGGTTGGGTGTCCGATCTCGAGGAAACCCTCCGTCCCAACTTAGGCAAGAGCATGCGTTCTGAGTGAAATGAAACACTCAGGATGCCATGGGGTAGAGGGCTTCCCCTCACAAACTAGGCCTAAATTTGAACCCGAACCATCCCACCCCCACCCCCACCTTCACAGCACCAGAAGCGCATCCCTGCTGGAATCTCCAATCCTTCCAAGCCCCTCGCCTGCGCGAAGGCCACAGTACCAGTGGCCGCCTTTCCGGCTGCCTCGCATGGCATGGCAATTGCTTCGATACCCCCCGAGGTGTGGATCACCAGCCCAAACCCAGAACCCTAACTCCCTGAGCCATGAAGCACTTTGGGGCATGTGCTCCCCAAACCCTAAAGTCCTAAACCCCGAATCTACCACCCTTTAAACCTTAAACTCTAAACCCTAAACCCTAGCACTTTGGGACTGAAAGCTCCTTTTGGGAGAGAGGGGGGGCCTTCTCGCTCTGCATGCCGATCTTGATGCACTCCAGCGGCGTGATGATGCATGCCTGACTCCGGCGAAGCCAATGACATAGGAGTCCCAACAAAGTGAACTCACATCCTGCTCTTCTATAACCCATAGCTGTGTGTCATAGCAATCTTTCCCTTACAGGCCCTAGATAGTGGCAGAAACAACTTCATCTAGCTGGGTTCATGATTTATAGGGCTCAGGGTGTCCTTCCTGCTTTGGTGTTTGTGAGAGATCCAAGAAGGCCCCGCAAGGAAGGCGAGGCGATGGGTTCAAGGGCGTTAGAGGTTTATCGTGTTCTGGGCTTGGAGAGGGAGAACCGAAAATCAGGATATTGAGGGTTTAGGGTTTAGTAGCTTCTAGGTCTTAACCTTTAAGCAATCAAGGCTGAAGGCTGCAGCCTCTCCATCTCAAGAATACGTCGCCCTAAACCCTAAACCCTAAACCGTAAACCGTAAACCCTAAACCCTAAACCCTAAACTTTAAACCCTAAACCCGAAACCCTCCCACTCTTGTGCAGCCGGCGCCTCGGCAGCACCGGCCATGCCTCCCGCCCCAAGGCTGTGCACAAAGGGCGCCTTTGGTCCATGGAGGGTTTAGGGTTTAGGGTTTAGGGTTTAGGGTTTAGGGTTTAAGGTTTAAGGTTTGGGGTTGCTGGGTGTTGGTGCGCTTACATGTCCTGCATGCTCCTGGAGGCTGCGCCTCCTTATGGAAGCCTGCATCCTGATCTTGATCCTCCTCGCTAGATGTCCCGACCCAGCGCACGCAACCAGCACCAAATATGGCAGCAACACCAGGCTCCCAAAAGGCATGACAAATCCAAACAGCTACTCTCTCAACCCTCAACTCACAACCCTAAACCCCAAAACCGTTGACTCCTTTGCGCCCTTCGAACCAGGAGTTGCTGTACTCGCACACCGATCCCGAGATGGATCCCCGCGACCAGACTTCTCAGCGCCTTCGACTTCTCTCCCTTCCACAGGCAAGAGATGAAGGCGTCGTAGAAAACCTCGGCTGCGCTCTCTACTGTAAGCGCTTCCTTTTGTAATCGTCTCCTCCTTACCCAAGGTTTCAGCTATTTTTGAGGGGTCAAATCTTATGAGGATTCCGAGGAGAAAACGTGGGCTTAGAACTACGTTCCCAGCTGTGTCTTGGGGGAGGGGGTGAGGGTTTAGCTTAAACTTTGAGAGGCTGAAGGGCAAAGGCTTCGATTCTCAACTCGACCTTTCGAAATTCCTGCTCTTCAGCCTCCTTCACATCGGTAAAGGCTTCAGCGAGCCCATCGAGCAGTTCAGAAGACTACCCAAAGCCAGACCCTCCTCTCTCTGCCAGAGGTGTGCTCATCAAGCTCCGAGCACGCGGCAAACTTGAACCCTCTGCGGGGGATCACCTGAGTGAGACATAGCAAAAGGGAAACATGGCAAGTGATGAGCCTGAAGGCCACAAATCCGTGTTCGAAGTTGCGATGCCTTTGGCGGATCCTCCGCACAGGGGTTCTGTGTCGCTTGCAGCTGCAAACATTACCTACACGAGCTCTGCAGACTCAGTCTATAGTAGAACAGTTTCCATAAACCCTAAACCCTAAACCCTGAACCCTAAACCCTGAACCCTGAACCCTGAACCCTAAACCCATCCCCAGTAACGGCCAAGCCTTGCTGGGCACCCCCGCGACGCAGAGGCCGGGCACAAAACCGCGCCAGAGCCCCAGAAGGCCTTTCAAGAAAGACACCAGAACGAAGAGAGAGGTTTAGGGTGCAGGGTTTAGGGTTTAGGGCAAGTATAGTACTCCAAAGCCCAGTTCAACAAGGGACTCTATGCAAGGGCCCATACTCCGGATGCTTTACTTAGGGCTTCCCCACATGGCCGTAAGACTCACAGTAGCATCCCAGAGGTGTTCAGTTCTAGAACCTTGCAACCCTAAACCCTAGCCCTAAACCCTAAACCCTAAACCCTAAACCCTAAAATACACCCTAAACCCTAAACCCTAACCCCCCAACAAAAACAGTGAACCCAAGCTTTCAAGCACATGTCGCGGCCTTCAGCTCGGCAAATGCCTCGCACGGCAGCCATGGTTCCCTTGCACAAGGGCAAAAGCTGAGGTTTAGGGTTTAGGGTTTAGGGTTTAGGGTTTAGGATTTAGGATGTAGGGTTTAGGGTTTGGGGTTGAAGGTTTGGGTTTAGGGTTTAGGGCTACTGCTTCCTCAATGTAATGGCACGCGAAAAGAATGTACATCCCGAAGGCCTGCCAGATTAGCGCTGCCACAACACATGCAGCCCAACTTCTCTGAAAGCCCCTGAGCCCCTGCGCCATGGCACTAAACTCACTAAGCCTTTAAACTGGACCTTGAAACTCCTAGACAAGCTAAACCCCAAAACCCTAAACCCCAAAAAACTCTGAACCCTAAAACCCTGGACCCTCACAAGGCCCCCAAAACCCTGAACCCTAAAACGCTGAACCCTAAGACCCCCGAAACCCTGAACCTCAAAACCCCTGAAGACCCCAACAATCCAAAGCCTTCGACGCCCAGATGCGAGACACCCACACCCCAGAAGGGCCTGAAAGTTGTCGCCGCTCTTCACACCCTGGCCCTGCGTGTTCGTTGGGTTGAGGGTTTAGGGCTTCGGGTTTAGGATTGAGGGCTTAGGGTTTAGCAGGGTTTATCGGGCTTAGGGTTGGTAGGGCTTAGGGGTTGAAAGGGTTAGTAGGGTTTAAGTTTAAGGTTAGGGGGCCAGGGTTTATGTTCTAGGGTGAACACCTGGAGTTAACTCATGCCATTTATCCCACCCCCTTCATGCAGCTCCTCTGCTATCTCCATCTTAGGTGTCATGGCTGGTGTCCTGGATGATGCTGGTTGGCTTACTGGATTTCGGGTTTAATTATTCGGGTCAGGGGCAGAATGAGGCTCAGCCTTTCTTATGGCGAGAACTGCGGCCCCATGTCTCGCAAGCTTGCAAGCAGGGGCCGTCAGGTGACCAAGCTGCGGGATAGCCGGGATTGAGATGTTCTCAGATTCCTTCTGGCTTCTCGCAAGAAGACACGGAGACTACACTGCTAAGGCCAAACTCAAGACAGTCTGCGGAGTCACCTAACAGCCTCAACCTTCGACCCTGAACCCTAAACCAGAAAAAGAGCCCTAAACCCTAAACCCTAAACCCTACTGTAAACCCTAAATGAACCCTAACATACAGAAAATGACCCTGCTCCCGGCTTGTGCAGATGGCGGCCTGCAGGTGCATGCGGGTCTTGACCACGTCCAGCGGCTGCATGATCGAAAGCTGCGAGAGAGCGCCGTAAGAAGAGACCGGGGGCTGTTTAGGGGTTTGAGAGTTAGGGGTTTAAGAGTTTAAGAGTTTAGGGTTTGGGGTTTAAGAAATAGGGTTTAGGGGGGGGTGTTTAGGGTTTAAGTGTCTAGGGATTACGGTTCAGTGCTGAAGAAAGTATTGGGGTTGTCTAGAGTTTAAGGGTTTAGGGTATGGGGTTTAAGAACATAGGGCTTAAGGCCAAGAGAGTCATCAGCGGGGCTTGAGACCGGGTCTGCTTAGGGCTTAAGAGTTTTGGGTTTGGGGCCCAGTTTGGGTTCAAGAGCTTAGGGTTTAAGACGAGTCTAGGATTTAGGGTTTAGATTTAGGCGTTCATTAAGAGTTTAGGGTTTTGAGCTTTTAGGCTTTGAGGGTCTTAGGGCGGCCGTACCAGGGTCTCAGCACTTAAAGTCCTAAATTTAGGGTTTTAGGGTGGCTGTACGAGGGTCTCAGAATTTAACGTCCTGACGAACTCGAGGACCCGAAAAGTTGGGGACGGTTTGGACATCAGCAAAGTTCCACCTTTAGCGTGTCCCAAAAGCGATGTAGGGTTTCGGGTTAGGGTGGTCAGATGTAGACTAGAGCAGCTTGCAGAGGACGATACGCCGAGCCTTGCAAGCCGGGCATCACCGTCATCAATCCGACGATCATGATGGCGATTATGCCAATGACGAATGTGCTTGCCATTGCTCGATCATAGAGAAATATATGAAAAAACAGCACCCTGCAGACTTCAAGGTTGCGGAGTTCTACAGCATTCATGTAAGCCCTGTGAACCCCTAAACCCTAATTAAACCCTAACCCCTAAACCCTATAAATCTTAAACCCTAAACCCTAAACCCAAATACCTTGAGGGCCTCCACCGTGGCCGCCGTGCCGGCAGCGAGGAAGCTTGCATACGCAGGCGGCCTGCTCATCTTCGGGATTACAGGAGTTAGGATGTAGGGTTTAGGGTTTAGGGTTTAAGGTCTAAGGTTGAGGGAAAAGGTTTAGGGTTTAGGGTTTAGGGTCCAGAGGGTTTATAGGGCTTAGGGATTAGGGAGGCTTTAGGCTTTAAGGCTTCAGCTTCGGATTGCAGGATACAGATGAAGGCTTCCAACTGCACATCGACCATTTGATTTAGGGTTTAGGGCTTAGGGCTTAGGGTTTAAGGGTGTGTACTTTGCCGCCCTTTGACTGGAAAGAGGAGACGCTGGCTCACAGCCACAAAACCTATACGAATGGCACCCACAACGACGCTCTGACCCCAACCCCTCAGCACGCTCTCCCAAAACCCTTTCCCCCCTGCCTCTTGGCAGAAGCCATGTTGCTCGAGGAAGCACGGGGGAGGGTGGGTAGTTTTGGGGGGGGGGACAACCGAGAGCTCTCGTATGGTTCTTAGTTACCAGAGTGCGCTTGTAGAGGCTCGTTCTATCCTGCTCTTTGAGCTCCAGCCCAAGGGGTTCGGGGGGGGGGTGGGGCCCTTGTTTCTGAAGATTTCGGGGTTCAGGAGGGTTTGTAGGGTTTGATTCGGGTTTGAGGTTTAAGGTTTAAGGTTAAAGTTTTAGGGTTTAACATAGAAACTTCAGGGATAAGAGCCCTTTCACATCAGAGCCCGGCTTCCAGCAAATGGCCGTGAACGCACTTGAAACAAAAACTCCGACGCTGGCGGGCTCGGGACATCGCACACCCTAAACCCTAAACCCTAAACCCTAAACCCTAAACCCGAGTCCCTACAACCCGAGTCCCTACAACCCAGAGCCCTGGGGACCCCAAACCCTGAACCCCAGGCCAGCGATGCTGGCGAGCCACCTCGTGCCCTGCAACGTTCCAAAGTTTGAGGTTTGGGTTTAGGCTTTAGGGTTTCGGGTTTAGGGTTTGGGGTTTAGGGCTTGGGGTTCAGGGTTTTTGTTGGGGGTTGGGGTTTAGGGTTGGGATGTTGCCCCTTCTACCAGCAGTCCGTTAATAGGGGTTCGAATAGGGGGTACTATAATCCCTATGAAGGACTGCTAGTATAAGCGGGAACACTCCAAGTTTGGGGTTTAGCGCATAAGATTTAGAACTTTAGCCTGAAAGGTTCAGAATTTGGGCTTAAGGCCTTTTTCAACCTCACACAAACCGATGTTTGAACCACTTCAACAACCTGCCATGAGAGCCATAATCACCTTAATCGCCACCTGTCAAGCGAAGTCCCGATTTCCTGACGCAAGAGGCCCGAAGAGGGAGCAAACAAGGCAAAATATAGGGGCCTTAATGGCTGTGCGTAGCACAGGGAGGTCACGACCCAACTTCTTGACGGGACTGGGACCGGCGAATGAGTTGGCTTATACAAGGCCCATGTCCCAAAATATTGTCCTTTAACAGGATAGACTTTGTACCATAGAATGCCATAGAGATATTGAGGAACTTCGATGACGTGTGTCAACATGCCACACAAGCAGCGTGCATAAGCCGAGTTCTCGCTGAAAGCACTTGATACAGGGGGGGGGGGGGACTATTGGAACGGTGCAGCAGCAAGAGACTCCAGCCCACATAGCATCACCGTGAGAACACCTGATCAGCGGCATTGGGATGGCTGACGATGTGCTTGTACAATCGCCTTTGTCCACCAGGCCACAGAAACTCGTTTTCAAGTCCAGAATATACTAGAAGGTGGGGCCCCCTTACTATACTAACTGTAGTTAAGGGACTTATAACTAGGCTCTTACAACTCTACTTATAGCTAGAGGGCCCCCACCTTGTACAGTGGAGCTCAAGCAAGCTCCCTGAACCACTGGACCAGCACCGCCAGCCAGCGGAGTCAAGCGTTCTCAGCAGGTCTGCGTTGATAGCGCGTCACAAGTCCCCAAGCAATGTTACAACTGCAGCCGTTACTTTTATAGGCCACGATCTCGAAGCTCAGGTTGCTTGCATGCCCTCGGAAGTGTTGGTTGAGATCGTCGGTGATCCGACGATTTTGCCTGGGCCTTGTGCAGGCAGACAGAGGCCCAAGGAAAACGAAGCAAAGCAAGGATGTAAGGTTCACTATGAGGGAAAGAGGGGGGTCAGAGTCGCCCATAGTCTTGTTGCCATCGCCTGATACACCGAAAAAGATGAACGAGAGCAGGGAGACGGTGAGACATAAACCCTTCGTGATGGTGATGCATCTCTTCAGTCCATAGCCCTTCTCAACGATGTCGCGCAGCCGCTCTACATCGCTTTGCGATAGGCCGGCAACACTCTTCAAACCCTCCAGCTGCTCTCCAGTCAAGGGTCTTAAGCAGGACGCTTTGTAAAAGAGCTTCATGCCTAAGGAGTCCCTCGGACCTTCAGCCGCCGCAGCAAAGCAACAGTCAGCCAGGTGCACCTGCCGCACCCCCTCCACGTGGAGGGCATCCCGGATGCTGGCTTCGACGGCCATTGCGCCAGCGTCCGGCTGCGCGGTTTAGGGTTTAGGGTTCAGGGTTTAGGGTTCAGGGTTTAGGGTGTGGGTTTAGGGTGTCTGGAGCCTCAGTGGACTCTTCAAATCTGGCTGTGCATGAGGGCTTCTCCAAAGGACTGGCGCTTCAGGCTGGTGGGCTTGTTGACTGCTGTGGCTATGAGAACCACACCTGCATGCGAATGCACAACCCGCAAGAACGAGTTCCCACATGCATGCGTTCCAACCCTACACCCTAAACCCTAAACCCTAAACCCTAAGCCCTAAACCCGAAACCCTAAACCCGAAACCCTAAACCCACCGAAACGAAGGGTTCTGACGGATTTTGCTTCTCATGGTTCGTAACTATCACTTTCGCGCTAACCCCCGAGCAGTCACGGGATGCCCCAAAATAGATGTAGGCCAGGCAGGATATCTCACGAAGCCTTCCTGTGTGACAGGTTTAGGCTTTAGGGTTCCAGGGGGTGGTTTACACCATAGGAATCCCATCCCACCTCAAACCCCGAAGCGCAGACAGTATCAATGCTGCCCCTAAAGCCCAAGCCCCTAACAAACAACTCCCACCAACGAGCTCGAGGCCTTCTAAGCCTCACTTGCTCTTCATGCCTGAGCCCTTCCCTGAGCGCCCTATAACCCGAAGGCCCCCAAGTTTCCAAGTCCCGGAACCCTAAACTTCAAAACCCGAAAGCCCCTCAAAAGCTAGTCAGACTTCAAAACACCCTAAACCCTAAACCCTACACCCTACACCCTAAACCCTAAACCCTGAACTCTAAACCCTGCATCTGCATCTGTTTTGCTGGGTCTCCCCAAACGGCGTGCGAAGGCAGCTGACCTGGGCTGGGCGTGGAATAAACTCGACTGTCTCAGAAGCCCTGGCTATGACTTGATATATTTAGCATACACACAGATATTGTATCTCAAATGGAGTTTACATATTCCCCTTGTTTCCTTTGATGTTGCTGAATATGACAAACGAAACCTAGACACTGGCGAACAAAAAAGCTACAGTCAAAGGGATTTTGGCCGCGTTGCAACACGAGAACCCTAAACCCTAAACCCTAAACATGTTAAACCCTAAACCCTCTCGCTCTCTTCGGGTTCCTGTGGCCAAGACCTTCAAGAGGCAACGGCTTGCCGTTTCGCTGGAGGCATTCCGTTCTCCTCGATCAAGGGAGCTGCTGGGTGGTTCGTAGGATGCAGAAAGCTTGATATGCAGAGGGTTTGTAGTTGGAAGGCTTGCAGGGCTTTGGGGCTCAGTTTATAGTGTTTTTGGGCTGTTGTCTGAAATCCCTATTCGGAATTTGTCATGTCACCTACATGTGCCCATCATCACTTAAAGAGCGACGTAGGCAGTCATTTTGGGAATGCTGCGGGCCTTGCGCACAGCGAAGAAGTCGGTGATGCGCTTGGCACTCAAATGCGGCCTCAGTGACAGGCTGTATCGGCTCCGGAACTTCTTGGTCCGATGGATAAGAAGGCAAGTGGGGCCAAGCCAAATCCATGTCCCAACATGTCAGGCTGGCTGGCACAATCCTGCAATTCCCAGGTAGGCGTCAGATCTTACGCCCCCTGTCATGATGTCTCTGTACAGTCTAAACGCGAGCGAGGAAAACCCTAGCAAGAAAAGAGCATAAAGCCGAATAGACATACAGCCCACCACTAGAAACGAACGATCCAAACCCCTAAACCCTTTTTCGCAACCGCATAAAGTTAGCCCACACGTGCCCATGAACCTATGCAAATCCTGAACAAACAACAGACCCTGTATACACTGTACGCCGGACCCGAACCCTGCAGACCCCAAACCCTACCCTATATAATGCACACAAGGATACATATGGGGGCCTAATTCCCTAATTCCCTACTAAGAACGAGGGGGAACACCCCCACACCCTAAACCCAAACCCTAAACCCTAAACCCTAAACCCTAAACCCTAAACCCTAAACCCTAAACCCTAAACCCTAAACCCTAAACCCTAAACCCTAAACCCTAAACCCTAAACCAAAGCTTGGGGCAGCTCTGACACCGCTGCGTGGCCGCGTCGCGGGCGGGCGTCGCCGGCTGGTCCGGGAGTGGCACTGGCAGCTTCTTCTTGTTTGTTTTTTTTTTTTCTGTTGGGGGGGGGGGGGGGGGTTCAAAGGACAGCTTCAGGTTCAGGTTTAGTTTTTTTTTGGGGGGAGGGGGGGCTTAAAGGGCAGCTTCCGGTTGAGAGCTGAAGGTTTATCGGGGTGAGGGTTTAGGGATTTTGGGATGTTTAGGGTTTAGTGTTGGAGGCAGCTTAAACTTTGGGGGTGAGGGTTTGCAGGGTTTACGGGTTTGGGGCAGTCAAGGGTTTGGTAGGGGTTCAGGCGGTTCTTGATGGAATTTCAGATTTTCTATTTCTGGCTTGTCGCAGGCCTCAGGGAGGACAGCAATAGAGCGTCTAAGATTCCTCTCTGAGAGGAAAGGGTGTATGTAGGGATGAGAGGACACTCGCCAGGGCTTGGTGTTTAAAAATGATGCTTCGGGCTCCAAATAATTAAATAGAGGAGACTATATGGAATTAAGTATTTAAACGGCCCAAGATTAATTTAAGGGGGCTTTGAGGCCGCGACCCCTTAAGCCGACACCCCAAACAGCTCTTCAAGAGCTTGGAGGCTTAACCCTACAGCCCCAACCAGTCAGAAGATTTCAATCCGACTCAACTCACAGCAATCCCTACTAAGCCCCCCAAAGCCCTAAAAAGCCCCCAATTTTTCCTAAAGCCCCGAAGCCCTAACATTCCCCAAAATTCCTCAGCCCCCAAAGCCACGAGCACCCGAGCCTCCTTTGAGGAAGAGCGACACCGCGACGTGGTCCGAGAGCTGTGGGGGCCTCTTGCAGATGGCTCCGTGGACTTGTACACGGGAGAGTTCCCAAAGTCCCGAGACCTCCCCTTTTTCTTTTACTATTATTTTTTTTTGGGGGGGAGTCTTGTTTTTTTGGCTCGTTTTGTTGCTGTTTCTTGTTTTGTTTTTTTGAGGGCGGGGGGTCCCCTAAATCGTAAACCCTAAGCCCTATAAACCGCACGATGTTTTTCTTGTCTGGAGTTTGGCGGGACCTCTACAAGTGTTGGAGACGACGGATGCGACTTCGGGGTTCAACCTGCCGGTTCAGTCCACTTCGGGGTTTAGGGTTTAGGGTTTGAGGGTTTAGGGCGGGTTTAGGGTTTGAGGTTGAAGGTTTCAGGGATTTAGGGATTCAGGGGTCTAGGTTTGCTTGGGGACTGCTTGGGGCTTTGGGGGTTTGAGGGTTTTGGAGGGATTTAAGGGTTTTGGGGCTTGAGTGATTTTTGGGTTTTTTGGGGGTTCTGGGGTTTGAGGTCTTGTGGGTCACGCTGGCCCATGATAACTCCGCGTAGCGATGTCGATATGATGAAGCGGAACCAAAGAAGTGTAGACAGCTGCTATGTCCGATCTGGGGCAGTTCGCACTAAAGCTACCTTTTGGGAAGCATACCTTATGAAAACACAAAAAAGCGGAGAGCCCCCCTTCCCCTCCAACAAGAGAATGCGAACTGATAGAAAAACCCACATATGTGATCCGAGGCCCCCCCCTCAATGCTTGAAGCCCTGAGATCGATTCAGGGCTGCTGGGCGCCCGCACGTGTAGATGATGCCACTGGAAGGGCCCTGCAAGCCCAACCGAACCAGGAGCCCACAAACCGTCGACTGCCAGAAATGCCCTCAAGCGCCATTGTACCGCCCAAGGCCCTTAAGAAATCTCACCGAACGCTTCAAAACAAAATTCCGGGTTGAAGCCATCGCAAGCCTACCTTCTGAGGCAGGCTCGGGAGAAAGCGGTGTAGAATCAGTGTAGAAAAGGGGCCGATATCTCCCCAACAATAGGATGCCCCTATTTGGGGTCCGTATAATCCTTCTAACAGGAGATGATAGAATATTCAGGCTTTCCAAGGGGTACCCCTATCTTGGGAAATACCCGACAGTTCTGGCGGCCAGCTTCCGATGATAGGCTCTGAAGCTTCGGGAGGCTCGACTCTCAGTTTTCTGTCTGTGTATGGAGCTGTAGGCATTGGGTAGACACTTCGCCCCCATGAAATTTAGGAACTGGATGAACCTGTAATCTGCTTCAAGACTCGTTGGACTACGCCTTATGCAATGGTTCTGGCCAATCCTGACATTGGTAACTACTTGCTTCAACTGTTCAACCTGACATTGAATTCTGAAACTTTCAATGTCGACCACCACCTCCACCCCCGCGCAGCCTCGCGATCTGCACGAAAATGGGCCAAGTAGGTGTCCTGGATCGTCAAAGCTTCTTGGATCCTTGATGCTGCTTGAAGAGTCTCGTTCATGGCTACGCGGGGTATTCTACGTCGTAACACTACTGTTGGCTACGAAGGGCTGCTTATAAAGGGGATGTCACAACACTCCTCCAGCCTGAACCTCTGCGAAGCAATGAACGCATGGCGCATCCAGGTACACACCCTTCACCCTACTATACACCTGCAGTACATCAAATCAAACAAGCAGAGGAATTACGTTGCTTAAAACTGGGGTCCTTTGACAAGCCGACCCTCTACCTGACTAGTTCATGACTCACGAGTTAAAAACTTTGGTGGCTTTGGGAAGCGGAAAGGCGCACAGCTTTGTGCGCACGCAGTCCTCATCCATAGCCGGCCTTGGCCCAGGTGGCGGCTTTATTGGTACGCCCGCAACCCTATAAAAAACTAAACCCCAAAAACTCATACCCACAAGCCTGGAGTCTCTGTTCCCTTTTCTTCTCAGCCCTAAACCCTAAACCGCTTACCCTTGCCATACTTGGGTGAGGCGCCTGGTTCTGCCGTGGTACGTGGCTGAGTTTGCATTGGAAACTGGGAAGCCTTTGCCGGGGTTGTCCTGCCTGGGAGGACTTTTCTGATCAGCCTATCTATCTAGCGATCGATCTATCTATATATATATATACATATCTCTATATATATATAGATATATACATATGTATATGATATTTTGACCTTGGGAGGCTTGAAGCGATGGGGGATTTAGGGGTTGCAGCTGCAACTTGTTGGTGGCTTGGGCTTGGGAGGCACCTCCTCCTAAGAGGGAGCTCATGGGTCATGAGCTTCTCGGACCTGAACCCCAAACCCTAGAAATTTTAAACTCTATTTTTTGCCATAGAAATCGCTATAATCAACCCAATGAACCCCATAACCCCTGACCTCTAAAACTTGGGGTCAATGGGGGGCGGGAGAGGTGAGGCGTGGATCCACCACCATGTGTAAGTAGGGCCCTTAGACGGCGAACCTTTTAACCTCTAAAACCAATCGTAAAACAAGATAACAAGATCCGATGATTTTTCTCGCCTCGACGCGACCAAAACTCTGCGAAGATAAGATCAGCTTCTCGACGTGGGATGTGGTTCATGGGGGGTAAGGGGCTCGCTGCACACTTTCTAAGTGTGGGGCTTAAGGGTTTTCATACGCCGCTGCACAAAATTGATGCGTGCTGAAATCCAACCCTGAAGCGCATCTGCTGAAACGATCCTCGTCAAAGACTAGGCAGTGGTAGTATCCCCCAAAGACGTCACATAGATACGCTCACCATCTCTCACCGAGATTACTACCCGTGAGCCCTATGATACACTCAGCGAGAACAGTGATACGAGCCCTATACCTCAGAGGTGGAAGCAGCAGGGTTTCAAGAGTGAGCCATGCCGACAGTCGAGAAACATCGAGCGGCAACGGACACCTTGCATCCTCCAAGCGCCCGTCGGACATCGTCCGAAATGAAAAGGTCGGATGCGAACAGCCGACTCGTTCTTAGTTGGGAATAGGAGTGCCCTACGTAATCCCTTACAGGGTATATGGGGTGATATGACTGTACCTGAACCAGTAGGCCAAAGCTAATTACAGAAGGCAGCTAGATCTGAGAGCATTGCAGGGAACTGACTGGGCTGCATAGGGCTGCATGTGTGGTTAGGGTTTAGGGTTTATCATGGGCGATACTTTACTACACCTCTTATCACACCCGAAAGAAGATGACACTCCCAGGAATCGTGAACCAAAAGCTCGATACAACACTCAAAGCCCCCTAAACAACCCGCTAAACCCAGAACAAAGATATGCCAACCTTGGGATTCTAGTGCCCCTGTTAAAATCCCTATTCAGGACTGTTAGTATAAGGTGGAACATCCAAATGCCAACCTCACTATCTCTGCCTTTTGGCGCTTGGACGCAGGTGCCGTCGGAGGGGGTAAAAAGGAAGCGAGCGCCGCACTGGCATGAGCCCTCCCAAGTCGAATAAGGGCTCCGCTCTATGTACCTTATAACCCTAAACCAAGTGGGGGTCCTCTCCACGATAGCAGCTCACGCCCCGACGCAGCCTGAAGCTACAAACCCAAAGCCCAAAACCCTACAAACCTTTCATAATGCCAGCCAGTCTGAGATCACCGTGCTTTCGGTCAACATACCTCAAGCCTCGATGCTTCCAACCGCAGCCTACGGATCAAAACGTGAACTTAAACCCTACAAACACTCAGCCCTAAATACCCTCCCTTAGTTGCTGAGTTATAGTATCTCAAAAAGAGCTCAGTGCACTCATTCAACTTCTAAGCTCGTTAGGCAGGAAGGTTCAGGTAAAACTTAGAGTTTAGGGGTTTAGAGATATAAGGGAACCTAAGCCGCATAAACCCTACACCCTAGGCGTTGGGATGGCTGAGGCGCCACTGGAGCACAGTCTGCGCCAGCCCGTGCGTGAGGCGGGTCGTACCCGAGCCGAAGACCGCTGACCTCGGTCTCCCTCTCCCTCTCCCTCTCTCCCTCTCCCTCTCGCCCTCTCTCTCTCTCTCTCTCACTCTCCCTCTCCCTCTCCCTCTCGCTCTCTCTCTCTCTCTCTCTCTCTCTCTCTCTCTCTCTCTCGCTCTTTCCCCCTAAACCCTAAACCGCATGTCTGTGGGTTTAGGGTTTAGGGACAGGGATATGCAAGGGATCTCGACAGTTAGAGGAGGGTTCATACTCTGTTAACTTATATGGTGAAAGCGCCCCCTCCCCCTGGCAGAAGGCCCAAGGGCTGAAAGGCCAGCACCAGCTTCGCTAGCTGGCGGCCCGACATGCCCTCGGTCTGCTTGGCCACGTCCTGCTAGCTTGGGGGAGGGGGGTTTGGGGTTTAGGGTTTGGGGTTCAGAGTTCAGGGGGCTATGGTTTAAGCGAAACAAGCGAGCTGGGCTTATAGTGTTTATGGGTGGGGTTGCCTGAAACGAAGCAAAAGGAGTTGCGCTTGTGTGATGGGTTCCCCCCCTCTAAACTACCCCCCGCCTAGGTTCCACCCATAACTAGGGCTATTTAGAGATCATTAAGCCTAATTAAGGTTCTTTAAGGGGAGAACCAAGGGGGTAGTATAGAGGGGGTGGTAGGGGAAATGATTGTAGGTTCTTCCTGGGTCTCAGTGCTAGTGGCTGCGGGAACCTTGCAGCTGCAGTGACCCTTTCAGAATTCAAATAACGGGCGGTTTGAAAGGGTACGGGTATTTATATGGATGTGAGGAGCCCAAGAACCAAACCGGTAAGGGAGTATCCTGCTTCAAAGCCTAGATCCTACATCCATTCATACTCGGCTTCGGGGTTTCAAAGAAGGGTTGTAAAGGAAGGGCTTCTGCGGCATACCTACTTCACGATTTCTTGAAACGGGAGGACTTGGGTAATGTCTCTCTTCCATGCAGCCCGACCCCTAAAACCCTAGACCCTATCAAGAAAAGTGGGCCGGCACCTCCCAAAATTTCTCGTCGAGTGCGTCGTCTACTTCGATGAGCGACTTCCCGCCCTTTGACGCGCGCAGGAGATACCTGGATGTAGGGCTTAGAGAGGACTTGCAGGGGGCGCAAAGTTTGGGGTTTCGGAGATGAGGTGTCATGACGCGGCGCCCCCCAACAACTTGTTGAACGCCAAATTGCAGCTCTTAGCCTGATCTTAGCCCAATACCTTGAACCCTAAAATCTAAACCCAAAACCCTAAACCCCGCAACCCCTAAACGCCGAAACACTAAAGGGTGTGAGGCGCACGAGGGCAAGGATGGCGAAGGGCATCAAAGCTCAAACGAGCACGACGCGTGCGAGGCTCGAGGAACACGAGGATTCCAACCCTAAGCCCTCACTTTTGCAAGCCTGAGTACATCTTTCGAGGTGTTTTTCAACGACCCCGTCAAGGGACCCTGATCTTCGCAACTCTCTACAAACTGCAGGGTTCTTGCGCTACCTTTCCAGAGGGTCCAATTGTATGGAATTTCGTCACTCAAAGCCCTATCATAGTATCGGGTTGGGATGTGAACCATTGTGCTAACCGGGGAATATAGTACCGCGTTTTCGAATCCCTATTAAGGACTGTTAGTATAAGGGGTCACACCCAAGAATTGGGCTTTTTGCAGCTGATTTTACAAGAAGTGGACCTGATGCCGACAGAGGCACTGATCGACAAACAGCCGCAGCATCTGACTTCGCTGTTCAACCGCGGGCCTCGTGCCGCCAATAGAGCTCGATCGGGTTTAGGGGTTTAAGTAGAGGGTTTAGGGGTTTAGGGTTTAAAGTTTGGGGGTTTCACGGGTTTGATAGGCGTGAAAGTCGCGGCTTTAAGGGATTAGAAGTCTAGGGCTTTATAGGGATTTTGGTCCCCATAGGTAAGGAAGTTCGCAGGTGGAGCATGGCACATCAGCTTCTAGAAGACTTACCCACCTGGACCTGTCCTACATTGCTCATTCTGCTTGGGTTTTTGGTGCCTGAGCCCTCGGACCAAAGCCCTAAACCCTACACCCTAAACCCTCCTAAACCCTCCTAAGCCCAAAACCCCAAACCCTAAACCCTAAATCCTAAACCTAAACCCTGAATCCTAAACCCTAAACCAAAACAACACCTACTTTGCCCCGGCCTTGGGAACTCGAACTCCTCGTCCACGCGGTCGAGGACTGCTCGGTCCAGCACGGTGGGAACATTCCTTCGGGATCGAGGCTGAGTATAAGGGCTGCGCACGGGACTTTTTGGGACCTTCGCTTTATACTAACCCGAAACTCCAGACCCTAAAGTCCGGGCTAAGAAGACTTAATCGCTTCCCCCACTACACCCCCCCCCCCCCCTCCCCTAATTTTAAGTATTATTTTCCCGGACCCTGCCGGCACCCAGCCCAATACTAAACCTGTTTCAGAATTAGGGGGGGAGGGGTTCAGGGCCTTCACCCTTGAGTTGAGCCACTAGGGTTTCAGGGTTTAGGCCTGAAGGCTGACAGGATTAGGATTCAGGGCTTAGGGATTAGAGGGTTGAATTAGGGTTTAAAAGTTAAAGCTGAACCCTAATGAACCCTGAACCCCAAGCCCCAAACCCTATAATTACTCCCCCTGTGTCCAGGTTTTGGGATTTAAACCCAATTTAAATATTTTTCGGGCCAAGGCGAATTTCAGAATTAGGGGGGGGGGGGGGGGGGAGGGATTTAGTATTAGGGGGAAGGGATTAGGATCGAAAGCTCCAAGCTTCAAAAGCCCGATGAGGAGTGGTGTCATGCATATAGATTTCATCTAAGAGTATTGTTGTAAGAGGGCAGACATCCACAATCACAGGGCCCATTTGGTCCCCAGGGTAACCTCTGGCCACCCAAACTCTTGGTAGAACAAGCTGCGTCGCAAGGATCACGGCCACGTGAGCGCTCTCCGTGCCAGTGTGGTGCAAAAATACGGACCTAAGCTTGCTGGTTCTTGTCAAGGAATCCCGATGAAGGCTTATTCAAGTGGGAAAAGAATATGTGCCGAATTCCCCTCCCTCCCCCAGTAAGTAAAAGAGGAAGCAAGGCAACCGGGGAGAACCAGGGCTCTGGAACAAGGGACAGCGCTTGGGTTTCAGACTTGGGCATCTGAGCAGTCCCTATTTGAGAGGATTGTTTATATGATTATATTCGAGGGAGTGGATATCTTCCGCTCAGGGGCAACGAGTTCCGTGCGTCCTCGCCCATGGTCCCCTCCCCACCACGGCCGCGGCGAAGGAAGGAATCGGCCTCTTTCACAGGGAAGCTCAGGCGTTAAACGCGAAGTTGTGGCGTCTAGGGGCTTCTCTAGACGTTAAGAGGTGGAAGCAGCTGGGCCTTCATCTTTGAAAGCGGGATTCGATTGCAAAATGCTTCAATAAATGCAGGGGACCCTGATTTAGAGCAAGCCCGAGCCGAAGCAATGTGATGAATCGAAGCATCCGACAGACTCTGTCAACCCTCAACCCCATGCTCCTCTGGTCCAAGGACCTGAGACTCCGGAAGCCCTACAAGCCCGAAACGTGTGACAGAGCTTCTCCACAAGGCCTCATCGATGAAGAGAACCATGCCTCCCCAGGACATCTTCAGAGTTTGTTGGGGCACTGAAGGGCTTGAGGGTCTATGTAGGGCCTTGAGGCTTGAAGGTCTCGGAGGCTTGCGGATGTTGTGCCCAGTCGAGGTGAAGGGTTGGTGGATGTTTTTTGTGGATTTCGAGTTTAAGGCTTGGGAAACTTCAGCAACCCAAAACGCCCGCGCCTTTGCGCGAGCGCCTGGCCCACTCGAAGAGCTTGTGCCTTGTGCACGGTTGGTGCAAGGAATCGTTAAGCTTCTCACTTCCCAGGCTTGTTCAGAGCTCAGGGTGCAGGGTGCTCAAGCCTCATGGTGCCACACCTACGACCCCGACCTGAAACCCGAATACAACCAACGACAGGGGCGGCAGCAGTGCAGAGAACAGCTTTAGGATTCATCCCACACCTCAACCCCTAGGCCCTACACTCAACCCTACACCTCAACACCTCCTCCAAACCCCCCTATAAACCCGAAGCGCCCCACTAGTAACTGCTCAACCTCCCCTCTCCCCCCCCCCCCCCCCCCCCCCCCACGAAAAACTAAACCATACCCCCTACACCCTAAACCCTAAACCCTAAACCCTAAACCCTAAACCCCAAACCCTAAACCCTACACCCTAAACCCTACACCCTAAACCCTACACCCTAAACCCCAAACCCTAAACCCGAACATAAAAAAAAGAAACAACGCAGCCGGGAGGGCAACTCATTGGGCCCTTCACGGCCGAGAGGGCCAAGGTCGCCACCTTCGCCGAAGGTTCTGAGGGCTTAGGGTTTAGGGTTTCGGGTTTAGGGTGAGTTCAGTGCTGAGGGATCTGAGGTTTCTGGTTTTGACTCAGGACCTTTGCAGGCAGTTTGAGGCTTCGGTGTCACCTGCTAAAGGCTCTACAACTTGAGGTCCTTGGCTCTACACTCTCTGCTTGGGATGTTCCCCCTTATTATACTAACAATCCTGAATACGGATTGTACAGTAGTACCCCCGATTATGCTCCCTATTAAGGACTGTTAGTCTAAGGGGGAACATCCCACCTCTCTGGCCATAACCACACACGCAAGGCCACCCCCGAACCTAACCCTGAAGCCCTGAACTCTCCCAAACTCCGGAGATTCCCTCACGACAAAGCCCCCCGAAGTGCCATAAAGGTCTCCTCCATGGTCTCAGAGCCCCCAAAAACCTCCGGCGACTCGAAACCCCCAAAACCCCCCTAATTAAACCCTAGACCCTGTAAACCCAAAACCCCTATAAACCAAAAAACAAAGCAAGTTAATTGGCCAAACGGATGCCTGACATGATCGCGTAGTCCAGGCCAGACTGCCGCGCCAGCGTGCGCGCAAAGAGCGTCTTCCCGGTGCCTTGCGAGTTGAGACAGATCTCTTCTTGGCAATAGCACCCATGGCCCACCTCAGGAGAATATCCTGCTATACATACTAGGTGTATATATATATATACATACTATATTGACACATCCTCCCCCCTCCAGGTTCTAAGTGCTCAAAGCCCAGAGCGCCGACGTCGCGGCAAACTTCCAGACCCCTAGAACCCCCCAAAACCCGCCTGGGGGTCCGTGCAGCAGCAGATGACGGAAAGGTGTCCCGTTCCTCAGTACCGCGATTCGTTGTTCAGCTTAGGTGTCTCTAGGGGGGTCCATGTACCACAGGTGCGTGCTTCGCTTTGCAGGTGGGGTCAGGCTTTGGCTTTGTTCAAGAACAGCCGGCACTTGGGATATCGGGTGTCTGGAGCCGTGTGTGGGTCGTTCAAAGGTAGAAGGGCCCGAGTTCTAATAGGTACCCCAAATTTAGGGAACCTACCAAATATTGGAAGGGCTGTAATAGGTACCCCAAGTTTAGGAACCTGCCAAATATGGAGACGCAGGTGCTGCTGCGCGCTGAGCAGTGCATTGGTCGACCACTGCAGCCTCTCCGCCAGGGCCTCCTCCAGAACGATCTTCTCCTTGGACAAAATGAAGCGAAGTTGCTCGTTGATACAAAGAAGTCACGAGGGTTTAGGGTTTAGGGTTATAGGGTTTATGCTTTATAGGGTTTAGAGGGTGCAGGGGTTGAAAACTAAAGAGGTTTTGGGGCACAGGTTTTGAGACATGGGATTGGGGATGTGGGGACCCCCATCCCTGAAGGAGCCAAGCTGCGAAGAGGTTGGTACTGGTGCCTCGCCCAGGGAGCCAGGACAGCTGCGGACGCCAAGACCACCTGCAAGGGAGTGAGCAAGTCCCGAAACGTCCCGACACCCTTACAGGGAATACTTGGGCATAAGGGCTAGGGTTTAGGGTTTAGGGTTTAGGGTTTAGGGTTTAGCAAATCCCAAAAGGTCCGGGCAATTTTATGGAGAGTTGGGCATACCCTTGAGGGTTACCAAGTGCCTACTACATGGGTGTGAAACCCTAGGCCCTAGGCCCGAGGTCGTACACCCCAGGTATGGAGACGGTGTCGACTTGCCTGCTCAGCTTCTCGAAACGATGCTTGTACCACTTGCCGGTCCCCATTGCAATGAAGATAAGCCCTAAACCATGTGTAAATCTCGACTGTCAGCCTTCCCAGGATCAGCTTTTTCAGTTGTTATGCTCCCCGCCCCCAACAAAGAAGCAATAATACTGAGCCAAAACTTACATCATACCAGCGAGACATGTATATATTGCACACAGCAGCCTCGACGTTTCGCGAACCAAAGGCGGTCGACTAAGGTGCCTCTCCTCGGGGTGGTGATGAGCTACGCTGACTGAAAACTAAGATTGCACCTTTCGTGAGCGTTAGGACCGTCAGGGGTAGCCGCTATAGAAGATAGGAGATTCATTGCAGGGTGGCATAGGCTAAGTAGGGAACCGAAAGGGTGGTAGGGTAGGCGATGTGGGTGGCTCGCATAAGGTTCGGGTCAGAAGAATTGTTGAACCTCATCGGCGGCCCCGAGGAAAAGATGCCAAGAGAGTTCTTGGGAGCGTTGACGCCTCAACATGATGCCAACCCCTGACAAGCAACGTGCAAGCGAAACTGCCCTAAACCCGCTGGTTCTCAGTAGAGAATGAGGGAAATAGGGCCTTCTCCATACCCCTTAAGGGATTATATAGTGTACCTCATTCCCTCCCCTTCTCAGAACCAGCCAGTAAACCCTGTTAAGCACAGAGTCCAGAACGCGGCCCGCCACACGCGTGGTCGCCCGGGCGCTGTAGACGCCAACTGCCAGTGCCGTCAACCCTGCAGGGGTTGGTTGATCCCTGACCAGTCTCAGAACACCCTAAACCCTAAACCCTATTGACCCTTTTCACCCTATAAACCCTATAAACCCCATAAACCCCAAAAATTGAACCCTATCACCTATAAGTCTATATAACCCTATATGTCTCAGGTGTCTTAGAAGCTCCGGGCTTGAGGGTGCGGGGTGCCAGGATGCAGGACTTCCGTTCCTTGCGTCGGAGGCCTGTTTTTTCTTTCTTTTGATGCCCTCACACCCCAAACCCGATGATCCCTACACCCTGATTCTCTAAACACACCATCACCAAACCCAAACTCCCTGAAGCTTGACAGGGCTCGGGAACCAGACTCAGTTTACTTTCGAAACCACATGGGTCGGGTTGAGGGTTTAGGCTTCTCAAGGCCTCCGACCAAGGTGACCGTCTTCGCCTCGCATGGTCTCAAGAAGGGCCCAAGAAGGCAGAAGTCTACGGGCTCATGCTTAATTACTGTTCTCTTTCTGAGGTCTTCAGGCTGCGTTTACAAGTCCTAAAGCCCGATCAGCCCTAGCCCTATCCCTATTAAACCCTGAACACCGTGTTCCTACGGGATCTCCAGCCTTTTGGGAAAGTGAGCCCCCCATGAAGCGCCCAGGGAAGTTTTGAAAGGGGTGTCCAACACCAAGGGAGCGGGTTGAGGGCTTTCCAGTTTTAGGGTTTACTGTAGCGCTTGGCAGGGTGTTAGGGTTTAGGGGCTTTCGGGTTCAGGCTTTAGGGTGTAGCGTTGAGTGAGGGTTTGCGGCTTGCTTCGGGCTTTGCTGAGTCAGTATTCCCTGGAAGAGTTCGGGCTGCCTGCACCCTTAGTCTTAGGGTAGAAACATGATCCCTTAGTAGTGGCCCTTGAAAGGGTATCACTGATATACCCCATATATACCCTATACACATTAAGGGCCCTTACATCAGAACCCTTTCAAGGAGGTAAGGACCAACCCTGTCGGGCCCGAAACCCTAAACCCTAAACCCTAAACCTAAACCCTAAACCCGAAACCCTCAACCAGAAACCCTAAACCGCCCAGATTGGGTCTTGATGGTCAGGCGGCGCGATCTTCGTAGAGCGCCTGTGCTCCCGAGCTGAGGCTCCTTGGGGGACTTGGCCGGGGTTTCGGGGGGTTTGGGGTTTCAGGGTTTAGGGTTTAGGGTTTGGGGGTCTTAGGGTTTAAGGTTGGGGTTTAGGGTTTGAGGTTTAGGGTTTAAGGTTTAGGGTTTGGGGTGTAGGCTTTAGGGTTTAGGGTTTGGGGTTTAAGGTTCTGGTTTAGGGTTTAGGGTTTCGGCGCTTTGGGAGTTCGGGATGTGGTGTTTGAAGGCTTTATTTGGCGAAGGGGTCTACAGGGGTGCTCTGCTTTCAGAGAAAGTGATCAGTCAGTGTGCGAATTTCGCAGGAAACAATTGGAGACTTTGTTCAAACGACACCCAAAACCCCAAACCTTATCCCTGAAACAAAAAAGCGGAAGGGGCTTCGGGCAGGTGATCTGTGAGTGTTCGTGCTTCGGTGCCTCCAACTTCGATGCAAGTACATAACCCCTGAAGTTGTTTAGGGCTTAGGGTTTAGGATTGAGGGCAAGCATACACGCCCCCGCCTCAAAAAAATAAAGGAGTAGGGGCACTGTTCAGGGCGTAGGGTTTGGGGATCACTGCTTGATTGTGGGTAGTTTGTGAGGTGTTAGGGTTAGGGGTTTCGGGTTTCTTGTTTCGGGCCTTTTAGGGTTTAGGGTTAGCGTTTAGGGTTTAGGGTTAGCGTTTAGGGTTTAGGGTTTAGGGTTTAGGGTTTAGGGTTTAGGGCTTAGGGGCGCCCCAGGAGTTCGAGCTGAGGCACGTGAAGAAGGCATCGACGGTCTCCAGAGCCGTCCTCCCGATCGCGGCGCGCTTGAGAGTCCCCCTCAGAATGCCCTGAAACCTCAACCACACCACGAGCCCTAAAGCCTATAATATAGGGGAATAAAGAAATAGAACAGTTTTTTTTTTTTTTTTTTTTTGGGGGGGGGGGGGGTGATTATAGTACATATATATAGGGGCCATAAACCACAAGCTCTGATTCCTATAAATTGGGATGTTCCTTTTGGCACTAGCAGTCCTTACTAGGGATTATAGGACCCCTATGATAATCCCTATTAGGGACTGTTCGTAAACCCTAGCCTGACAGCCCGTCCAACACCCAATTCCCTGCATCTCTCCCATCCAGATCCCTTGAACTGCTGTTCGCAGAACGAAGGAATCATGAGGACCCCTCTAGAAAGGACCCTTACTACTCTCTTTAACCCCTTGCTATTGTACCGCGTGTAGTACTTAATGCACCTAAGTAGCCCCAAAATACCCCTAAACCATATAGTAGGGTGCTCATTCGGGAGGGCTTGCTATCGGTGTATAGTCGGGTCCCGCATAAGAAGTCCCTCCAGTAGTCCTGAACCCACTTTTGGAGTTGAGGTCTGGGGGATGCTGGTTTAGTTGCCAGGGTTAAGGGTTAAGGTTTAGGGTTTTAGGGTTTTAGGGTTTTAGGGCTTTAGGGCTTTACGGCTTTAGGGTTTTAGGGTTTTAGGGCTTATAGGGTTTTAGGGTTCAGACTATAGGGTTGAGCCTCCGCTTCTCGGCCGACTGGGCCCTCATTTCGCGGAGGCGGATGTCGATGTTCTCCCGCTCCTATGGATTCATCCGGAGAGTAGGGACCGCAAGGGACCTGTCTTGGGTGGGAATATGGGGGAAAGGTGGGGGAAACCCAAAAATCCCCAAAAGGGCTAAACCTTGCGAAGTCCCTAACACCGAAATCCCCCCAAACCGGTTGAGGCTCAAGGGCTTGGGGGGGTTAGGGTTTGTGGTTCGGGGGTCTAGAGGTTCAAGAGTTTGGGAGTTCAGGGTTTCGAGTTTCACTTCTGTTTGGCTGCCAGAACTGGCAAGGTCCTGTTGGGCGCGCCCAGCAGCATCTGCCTTCGCTGCTGCCTTTCGCCAGAAGCGGAGACTTCTCAGGACTTTGGTTTGGGTTGTAGAGGTTAAGGTTTAGGGTTTAGGGTGAAGCGCACATTCTACATGTCATTGCATTGCGACGCTGGAAGAAGCCACAAGAGCTATGAATCGCGAGTGGCGAACCAGCAAATCCCTGGCCTCCAGCCGTAAACCGAGAAACCCAAAACCCTGAACCCCTGAAGCCTGCGATACTCCATCTAAGAACCCTCGACCCTAAAACTCCAAAACCTACATGTTAAACCCTAAACTCCTAAAACGCTAACACCTTAAAACACTGACCCCTAAAACCCTGCGTGCTGCCTTGGCTGTCTCGATGTCTTGCGAACCCCGGGCGCGCATGGTCTCCCTGACAGCTTCCTCCAGTAGCCTGATTTTGGGGATACTACGGTTTATAGGACTTATAGGATTTGTAGGACTTGTAGGATGTATAGGATGTACAGGATGTAAAGGATTGATAAGATTTAGTTTACGATTTCTGGGAGTCGAAACCCTAAACCCGAAATCCCAAGCCCCAAGCCCTAAGCCCTCAACCCTAAAACAACAAAACCTGAACCTTGAAACCCCAGGCCCTATGCGCTGCGATGCGCTGCAATAGATCCAAGACCATGCCCCTGGCATCCATTTTTGAGCCAAGGCTCTTCTCATTGCGGATGCGGATGGACTGGCCAGGCAGGGTGTAGGGTGTAGGGTGTAGGGTTTAGGGCTTAGGGCTTAGGGCTTTGGGTTACTTGGGTATAGGTCGGTGACATAAGAGCTGATTGTTGTCAACCTAAACCCTGAACCTGGACAGGTCTCTGAATCATCGTCTCTTTAGTGACCGCTAAGGCCCCACCGCCTTCGGGTTTCGGGGTTTAGGGGTTAGGGTGTAGGGTTAGGGAATGTGTTGATCAGGATTACACCATCTCTTTCCCGTGCTCGGCCTCACATAAAGTGTCGAAATTTCTGGGGAAACATATGAATGCACAAGGCTTCCGCTGGGTTCAGGGGTGGAGTGTCTGTTGGAACTCCTATCCCTAAATCCTAAACCCTAAGCCCTAAACCCAATACACTAAACCCTCCAAATCCCTAAGCCATAAACCCCGGGCTTTCCTTTTGCCCCAGGGGGTGGCCTCGTGCTCGAGGAACTGTTCCTGCTCCCTTCGAAGCTGGTATTCCAGAACCTCCTGAGGGCAGAGTTCCGGGTTAGGAGTCGGGTTCGTCTGCCAAAAATGCCCCATTTAGGCCTTCGTAATCAAGAACGCAAGAAACCCTGAACCCCCATGTGATCCGGACGGCTGGAAGTGAAGAGAGGCTGCGGGGCCCACCCCCACTTCTCAACCAAACCCGAGTTCCTACACATTGGGACGCTTGACCCGTGCATCCTAAACCCTATGCAGCCCCAAATCCTGAACACTATGCAGCCCTAAACCTTAAACCCTATAGAGCCCTAAACCCTAAACCCGAAACACTCGTCAGCCAAAGTGCCTTTTGCAACTCCAGCTTTCTGCCTGCAGGGGCTGCTACTCTGGGTGGAGAGCCAGTGTGTCCCTTACAGGGTTTTAGGGTTTCGGGTCGTGAGCTCCAGGGTTTTGGGATTTTGGGATTTGCGGTTTTCAAATGCTTTTCGTTATCATGGGTTTGTGAGCTTAGCAGGTTTACCCGGCCATAGTTAAGGGCCGGAGGGTTTTCTATGGTTCCAGGTTTATAAAGTGTTCCAAGTTTGGGGTTTCACAGCGCCAAGAAGCACACAAAGCTCCTGTGTGTGTGAGCCACACTAAACCCTAAACCCTAAACCCTAAACCCTAAACCCTAAACCCTAAACCCTAAACTGCAAACCCTAAACCCTCAACCCTCTAAACCCGAAACCCGAAACCCTAAGCCCTAAACCCTAAACCCTAAACCCTAAACCCCAACCCACAGGAGATCCTAGAAGCTCAGAAGCGGGCAATGGGAAGTTATGAAAAGTACTTAGGGATGCTGTTGTGGCGGTTCTTTTTTTCCACATGTACTAGGGGGTTTAAGGTTTAGGGTGCGATTTTGGGTACTTCGTCCGTGGGGCCCTGGGGCCAGTATGAAGGCCCTAGAGCGGTTACAAAGCATCACCTCCTTTAGGGGTACAACCTAAGTCTTCATCCCTTGATAAGCCGCGCCTTGCAAGGAGCTCTCCACCTCCGCCTTGTGCTGCGCCGTGAGTCTCTCCTGGTCGGCGAGGTGGCTGATTGTCCTCACACGTTGGGTTGGAGAAGAACTTCAAGGCGTAAGGGCATCTAAGGTCTAAATCCCAAACCCCCTAACGCCTAAACCCTATACACCCTAAGCCCTAAAACCCTAAACCCTAACCCTGGAAACCCTAAACCCTGGAAACCCTAAACCCTGGAAACCCTAAACCCCAGACCCCGCAAAGAAAGGAACACCCCAAGGACCCCAAGATACCCAGCTGCTCCCAGCGCAGGACCCCCCTGGGCTTCGGTCCTGCGGGCCTCTTCGGCCTGCGCCGCCAGAGTCTGCTCCTGTAAGTCAAGGGGCAAGGGGGTTTAGGGGGGTGTAGGGGGCTTAGGGGGTTTAGGGGGTTCAGAGGCTTAGGGGGTTCAGAGGCTTAGGGGGTTTCGGGTTATGGTTTTAGGGTTTAGGGGGGTTTAGGGGGGTATACGGGGTTTAGAGGGGTTTAGGGGGTTTAGGGTTAGAGGTTTTGGGGGTGTTGGGCTTGGCAGTCTTAAGGTTTCGGGGTTCGCTTCGTGGGGTGTTCTGTCGACGTCGGGGTTGGAGAACTGAGATTGAGGTTTGCAACTGTCTGAACAAACAAATTATCCAACATGTATATTCGAAGCGTCTGGAACCATGTAAACACGGGCATATGTATACATAATTCTCACATCCCCGCCTGTCCTGCGTTGCATGGTCTTGATATTTGATACTCGTTTTTTTTTTTTTTTTTTTTTTGGCGGGGGCTCGGTATCTTAGTCTATGTTGAACTAGTGCATACTTTGAGATCTTGACCCAGCAAATGCAATGCTAGCGCATCCTGAAATCTTCAATCCCACAGCCTGCCTCAGTGATTAAACCCTCCAACACAAAACCCTCCAAAAACCTCACCCGAAGGTCCCTTCAACCCTAGACTTGCCCCCCCCACCCTAAGCCCTGTACCCTCGAGCCCTCTAAACCCTAAACCCAAAACCCTGTAAACCCTGTAAACCCTATGAACCCTGTAAACCCTATAAAACCTATAAACCCTATGAAGCCTATAAACCCTGCAAACCCTAACAACCCTGAGTCCTCCAGCTGGAACCGCGCACTCCGCTGCTTCTCCATCTCTAGCAGGGCTGCCTTTTGCGTTGTCCGCTCCTGATAGGGTCTTACTTCGCTCAACCCCGAACCCTAAACCCCGAACCCTAAGCTCTAAGCCCTAAGCCCTGAGCCCTAAACCCTAAACCCCAGGGTTTAGGGTTCAGGGTTCAGGGTTTGGGGTTTCAGGGTCTGACAATAAACAGACTACATGTGCCCTAAAAGTAGGGGACAACTCATTTCGAGAGTGGTGATTCCGGTGTGAGTTTTTTAGGGGAAATAACTAGAATGGGGTTTTGGGGGGTCGTTATTGTGTGAAATAATCGAGGGACCATAGGGGAAGATAAACCCTAAACCCTAAACCCTAAACCCTCTCGGAACCGAGCACATCATCCTGCCTGCATTGTGGCGATGTCGAAGGCCAGTTTTGAGTTCCTGCCATGACTCGGGGCTTTTCGAGTATGAGGCCTAAAAGCTAAACCCCAGACCCTAAATTTACACTGATAAACCCTAAACCCTGAACCCTAAACCCTACAGCCTAAAGCCACTAAAGCCTAAAGCCCAAGACCTAAATCCTAAACCCTCAACCCCACGCAGAGAAATTTCCAAAGTTTCCCGACTTGAGAGCAGGCGCTTTGAGCCGTCGATCTCTTTCAGCGCGGCCGCGCCCTGGGGGGGCTCGCAGACACCAATGAAGCCCAAAAATCCCAAACCCTGAAACCATTCGAGGGGCTTTAGGGTGTAGGTTTAGGGTTTAGAGTTTAGGGTTTAGGGCTTCGGGCCTGAACGAAAGCCCTAAATTCCTGAGCCCTAGACTCACGTGTCTTGTGGGCTTGGGCGTTGGTGAACGGAGATCTGGAAGTAGCATGAAAGCCCAAACCAAAACTCCACCCCCAATACCTCCAATTAAACTGTAAACCCTAAACCCTACACCCTACCAGTATCAACCCTAAACCCTAAACCCTACTCAATCAACTCTCTGGCTCCAAGCCTTCTCAAGCTGCTCGGGGTCGAACTTGCTGTCAACAACCTCTGCGCTTCGCCAAAGACAAGGTAGTAACCCCAAACCACACTTGAACACAACAGAACAGAAGGGTTTTGGGTTTGGGGTGTCGGGTTTAGGGTTTAGGGCTTAGGGTGTAGGGTTTAGGGTCCAACTGCGCTTGAACACGCAAGAAGGGTTTGTCACTTCTTCCAAGAGCGGGGGGGGGGGGGGGGGGGGGGGCGGCCCTCTTATCTAAACTTGCGCTTTGAGGTCCAGTTGCCTGAGGCCCGACCCCTTTTCGTACTTCCCCAAACAGCAAATACCGCCCTTATAAGCCCCTACCCTAATGAACCTCAACATGTTGCAAAAGACCCCCAACAAACCACAGTAAACCCTCAACCAATAAACCCTAAACCCCAAAAATCCCAAGCCTGAAGCCCTAACCCTATATGCAAGGTCCGGGGTTCAGGGCTGCAGTGACCCAACCAGGCTCAAACAAGAAGCCGCTTGGTCGAAATGTTTATCGGGTTTGGGGTCTAGGGTTTCAGCGTTTGGGGTCTTAAGGTTTCAGGGTTTCGAGTTTAGGATTCGAGGGCTGCAGGATCTAGGGTTGGGGGGCTTCAGGGTTTAGGGCTTTCAAGCTTCGGGCTGCTCCGACAACTTGAGGAACTTGAGTACTAGGTTGGGAATGGAAGCCCTCTGAAATATTCCGAAAGTAAGGCCCCTGCAAACCCTAGAAGAGAAATTCAGCATGTCCGAAGACCCCTGTGTTGGAGAAAGCATGCGCTTCATAGGTTGAAGACACTCGAAGACCTCTAATTAACCTTCCTTTAAACCCTACAAGGTCTCCCTACAAATCCTGTAAGCCCTGCAGGCCCTAGAATCCTAGAAGCACCAGAAACCCCACGTGAAACAAACACCGGAAAGAGCAGAACGGGTTCAGGGTGCATCCTCGTTCTTGGGCTTGCCCCCGCTGCCGCCGCCGCCCAGCCGAGGAACATTCATGGCGCCCGACGCTATGCAGTTCGACGCTGTTGTCTTTATTCCGCAAGAAAGCATTTGCTGTAACCTCAATGCAACATGACAAGCCTTACACCCTGATTGCATCTTCTTCTAAATCACCTTGGGCTTCGTCGCAAGAGGCCGCCCTCACTTCGGGGCTCCGTCGAAGATTTCTGAAGGTGGGGGGGTCGCCTTCGGGGCCTTCTAGTGAAAGGTACTGTGCCCCTGCATACACATGAAGCCCGACAGCGACAAATCGAGCTGGTGGCTGCTGTCGAGACAGTGGGCCGATAGCGCATCTTCAGCTGTGGGTTCGGAATTCGACTGCTTGTGCAAGGGCCTATAGGCAACCAGGGTCCGCAAAACCCGTATAGACCCCCCGAAAACCTAATCCAACCCCCTATTAACCCCCCAACCTAAACCCGATAAACCCGAGTTTAACCCCAAACCCCGCAACCCCGAAAACCCTTAAAGTCTCTAATTCGTCGGCGGTACCCTCGAACTTCATGGGATGCCCTGAGTGGTATGTCTATCAGAGCACATCATGGCGTAAACAACACGACCCGCATGATCCCCAATCAAAACATTCAGTTTTAACAAGCCCGTATGGTCTAGGGTTGTAGCCCTAGGGGTCCATGTACATAAACAGGGAAGACTTGGGCCGTAAAGAACCTGCTGTACAGGGACTTTCGGGCCCAAGTATATGATGATGATGATGAAGTACATGAACCCTTAGGATAGTCTTGCCCTGAATCTAAAGAAACCCTAAACCCTACAAAACCTTCACCTTCGAGTGAAGACAGAGCTCCGCACATGCCGCCCCCCTCGAAGGGCGCTGGCTGCAGGATGCCACCTAACCTTGTGAGGACTGTAGGGGTGAGGGTTTAGGGTTTATAGGGTTATAGGGTTATGGGGTTATAGGGTTATGGGGTTTGGGATGTTTGTGGGATTTGGGGTTTGGGGTTTGGGGTGTGGGGTTTGGGGTTTGGGTTGTGGGGTTTGGGGTTTGGGAGTGTTTGTGGGATTTGGGGCCTTGAGGGCTTTATGGGCTTAGGGTTGAGGGTTTCGGGAATTTGGGCCTCATGTGGGAGCCATTTCTAGGCTTCTAGCTGGGGATCGCATTCCACGAAAGCCGAAAATCCCGTAAAGTCCAAAAGCGGGGCCACTTGACCCTTCTCCGTGCAGTCCTCAAAGCCCAGGGGATGCGACGATGATTTGATGACCCTTAACTGTATGCCACGAACCCCTAGAACCTGCGTAGAAGCCTGAGCCCGCGTTCAGCACACGTAGTGAAGCCCCAAGACCCACCACACAAAACCCTAAGTTTATTCAACAAAGGCTATACTTGCCCCTGGTACCCCGCGGGCTGCCCGGCGTGGCTGCGGCGTGCGCAGCCGAGGGCGAGTCGCTGTCTTTCACCCCGCGACAGTCGAGGCCTGCAATCCCCCGAGCGAAATCATCGGAGTTTCTGAGTCTCAGAACGCGCAAAAGGGTTCCAAAACTGCAGCTAAGAGGACTGGCAGGCCCCAAAGCCCAAAACCCTAAACCCGAAACCCTTGGGGTTTAGGGTTTGAGGTTTAGGGTTTAGGGCTTAGGGTTTATAGGGACCCCAAACCTCAAAAGGGCTCCAAAATCGCCGGGAGGATTGGGAGGCCGGCCCCAAAACCCAAAACCCAAAACCTAACACCCAAGACCCTAAGCCCTATAAACCCAAAACCCTTATAAACCCTTATAAACCCTTGTAAACCCTTATAAACCCTTATAAACCCTTATAAACCCTTATAAACCCTTGTAAGCCCTTGTAAACCCTAAACCCTTATAAACCCTTGTAAACCCTTATAAACCCTTGTAAACCCTTATAAACCCTTATAAACCCTTGTAAACCCTTGTACACCCTTATAAACCCTTATAAACCCTTATAAACCCTTGTAAACCCTTGTAAACCCTTATAAACCCTTGTAAACCCTTATAAACCCTTGTAAACCCTAGACCCGAAGCCCCCGGAACTTCTCGGCTCACGCCCCAAAGCCTTTCAACTCTCAAGCTCAAAACCTGAGCTCTGAACCACCCTAAACCCTAAACCCTAAACCCTAAACCCTAAATCCTGAATTTCATACGCAAGAAAAACCAAGCACTGATTCAAGTCCTTGAATCCTGAATCTGGGCAGCACTTTTCAGAGCCTCGGGTCTGGAGTTTCCGGGTTTCAGCCGGCATTGGGTCGCCAAGCTTGGGGGATTTTAAAAGGTCTTACCGGGCTTCTGGGGCTTTAAGGGATTCAGGAATAAGGGTCTTGGCTGCAGGGTCCTTAACCATGGGGCCAATAGGGTGGGGTACTTCTGGGTTCATTGGGTTTATGCAAGGCTTTTGAGTTCGGGGCTTTGCCCGAGGTGACATCGCGCGGGAGCTCCCCAAAAAGGGTACCCCTAGCGTGGGATTCTCATCGATTTTGAACCGCTGAGCCTGACTGAGCCTCATGGGGCCCTTCTGTGTCTGCAAGTCTATCTGCTCGCCATGTCTATGTCTGTGTCTAGTTCCGTCTTCCGTATGGCTTGGGCTTCAAATATAGATCAGTCTGCATACAGGTTCATGCAGGAATCCCCTGGATGGCACGAGCTGCCTCAGCCACGCGCCAGCGCCTTCCATGGAAGAGGGCCTTCAAAAGTTATTGCTGCCTCTGTTTCCCTTCGGTTCAACGGAGTCTTCTGCCGCATTGTGCTGAACGTGCCGCACCGAAGTCACAAGGCCTGTTGCTCCAATTGCTGTGCCACAAAAGACTGTACAATGCTTCAGTGGACCACCGCCTGCACCCATGGCGGACATTTCTTGCACTCGTAGCGGAAGCACCAGTAGTTCCAGAGCCCGAGAATGCGGCCCTTTGCGCAGCGCTTGCCGCATGGGCCTCAGAAGGACAGCAGCGGGCAATCAGTATGCATAGACGCCCCATAACCCCAAAGGCCCAGCAGCTTCCGGAAATTCGGAGCCCACCCGGCCCCCCTTACACCTCCACTCCCTCACTTCAAGTGCCAAGGCGCAGAAGACCGGACTGATCGAGGGCAGGTTCCAGTCGGAATGGAACCTCTTCCCCAGGACTTTCGGGTCGGCGCCTGCGTGCCCAAGCTTTGGCGCTGCCGCAAGTTCCAACTTCTCTGCCTTTGCCCCGGCCGCCTCCACCTCGCGATCCTTCATGGGTATTTCCCGGAATAGGGGTACCCTTTTTATACCCCAAGTAGTATAGAATTCCTTAACGGGGCCCCACAAAAAGGGCACCCCTGTATTCGGAAACCCCCACATCTCTTGATTGACTGGCCCTCCGGGGTTAGGGGAAAAAAACCGCGCGTGAAAGGGCGCACGGCTGATGCTCAAAGCTTGAAACCCTAAACCCTATAGGCCCCAAACCTTATGGCTTAAACTCCGGTATAGTATAGGTGAACTTGAAGCATAATTCATCATAATCAGATCATGAATACTCAGCTACGAAAAAGTTACTTCAAGCCGGGCTTCTAGGAATCATCCTCGAAGGCATGATTAGTGGGTTTTAGGTCTGAAAGGGGGCACGCGGCTGATGCTCATGATGCTGGCCCTGGGCCGGTTCTAGGTGAAACGGTGCACGGCTGATGTTCATGGCCTTGGGCCGGTTTTAGGTGGAAAGGGCGCGCGGCTGATGCTCATGATGCTGGCCCTGGGCCGGTTCTAGGTGAAACAGTGCGCGGCTGATGCTCAGGATGCTGGCCTTGGGCCGGTTTTAGGTGAAAGGGCGCGCGGCTGATGCTCATGATGCTGGCCTTGGGCCGGTTTTAGGAGAAAGGGCGCGCGGCTGATGCTCATGATGCTGGCCTTGTCATGATGCTGGCCTTGGGCTGGTTCTGGGTGAAAGGGCGCGCGGCTGATGCTCATGATGCTGGCCTTGGGCCGGTTTTAGGTGAAAGGGCGCGCGGCTGATGCTCATGATGCTTGCCTTGGGCCGGAATTAGGTGAAAGGGCGCGCGGCTGATGCTCATGATGCTGGCCTTGGGCCGGTTTTAGGTGGAAAGGGCGAGCGGCTGATGCTCATGATGCTGGCCTTGGGCCGGTTTGTTTGTGAAAGGGTGCGCGGCTGATGCTCATGATGCTGGAGATGGGCCGGTTTATAGGTGAAAGGGCACGCGGCTGATGCTCATGATGCTGGCCTTGGGCCGGTTTTAGGTGAAAGGGCGCGCGGCTGATGCTCATGATGCTGGCCTTGTCATGATGCTGGCCTTGGGCCGGTTTTAGGTGAAAGGGCGCGCGGCTGATGCTCATGATGCTGGCCTTGTCATGATACTGGCCTTGGGCTGGTTCTGGGTGAAAGGGCGCGCGGCTGATGCTCATGATACTGGCCTTGGGCCGGTGTTAGGTGAAAGGGCGCGCGGCTGATGCTCATGATGCTGGCCTTGTCATGATGCTGGCCGGCCGGTTTTAGGTGAAAGGGCGTGTGGCTGATGCTCATGATGCTGGCCTTGTCATGATACTGGCCTTGGGCTGGTTCTGGGTGAAAGGGCACGCGGCTGATGCTCATGATACTGGCCTTGGGCCGGTGTTAGGTGAAAGGGCGCGCGGCTGATGCTCATGATGCTGGCCTTGTCATGATGCTGGCCTTGGGCCGGTTTTAGGTGAAAGGGCGCGCGGCTGATGCTCATGATGCTGGCCTTCGGCCGGTGTTAGGTGAAAGGGCGCGCGGCTGATGCTCATGATGCTGGCCTTGTCATGATGCTGGCCTTGGGCCGGTTTTAGGTGAAAGGGCGCGCGGCTGATGCTCATGATGCTGGCCTTCGGCCGGTGTTAGGTGAAAGGGCGCGCGGCTGATGCTCATGATGCTGGCCTTGTCATGATGCTGGCCTTGGGCCGGTTTTAGGTGAAAGGGCGCGCGGCTGATGCTCATGATGCTGGCCTTGGGCTGGTTGCATGTGAAACGGCGCGCGGCTGATGCTCATGATGCTGGCCTTGTCATGATGCTGGCCTTGGGCCGGTTTTAGGTGAAAGGGCGCGCGGCTGATGCTCATGATGCTGGCCTTGGGCTGGTTGTATGTGTAACGGTGCGCGACTGATGCTCATGATGCTGGCCTTGGGCCGATTTTATGTGAAACGGCGCGCGGCTAGTGCTCATGATGCTGGCCCTGGGCCGGTTCTAGGTGAAAAACGGTGCGCGGCTGATGTTCATGATGCTGGCCCTGGGCCGGTTCTAGATGAAAGGGTGCGCGGCTGATGCTCAGGATGCTGGAGATGGGCCGGTTTATAGGTGAAAGGGCACGCGGCTGCTTCATTTTGGCCTCCATGCATACTGGGAAGCAGGGATGCTCTGTTTTCTGGTTCCTCTGCGTTGGGATTATCCAAAATTCTGTGTGGTATGCTAGGGACCCTCACCCGTAAACCTCAAACTCTATAAAACTCTACATAAACTTTATGAACTTCATAAACTTTATCAACTTCATAAACTTTATCAACTTTACAAACCCCATAAACTTTATAAACTTTGTAAACCCTAAAGCCTAGAAGGTGGCGCCTTGTCAGTCTTGTCCCGCTTCTCCTGCGCTGACTCCACCTTGGCGGCCTTGTCCAGCGCCTGCCGGCGCTCCTAAAGGCCGAAACCCCAGAGCCAAAACAAAAAAAACCCAAAAAAAAACCAAAACCCAAAAACGCCTCAAAGCCTCAAAACCCCCAAACCCCAAAACCCCAAAACCCCAAAAAACAACAAATACCCCAACAACCCCCAAAAACCCACACAAAAGCGAAACAAACCCCAAACACCCCAAAAAGCCCTCACCCTTCCTCACCCTTCTAGCCGCTTAGCCGCCCCCCCCCCCCCCCCCCCCCCCCCCCCCCCCCCCCTCTTCCCAAAAAAACACACACACACACATACCACACATACCACACATACCCTTAGCCGCCTCCATGTGCACAAGCTTGGGCGCCAAAGCACCGGCTCGCTGGAGAGCTTCTTCCGCCTCGTCCTCATCCCCCTGGGCGACAGCAGCGGGCGCCTTCTCCAAGGCTGCCTTCCTTAAAAGGTTTAGGGTTTAGGGTTTACGGTTTAGGGTTTAGGGTTTGGGGTTTGGGGTTCAGGGTTTGGGGTTTGGGGTTTAGGGTTTGGGGTTTGGGGTTTGGGGTTTGGGGTTTAGGGCTTAAGCTTTCTTAGTAGGTACTCTCAAAAGTCCAGTATGCCTAATTTGGAGGTGATTCTGGAAGTAGGTACTTACTTTAAGAGTCCATTAGGGGTTCGAAAAGGGGATCAGTTCCCTCATTCCCTACACAAAGAACCTGCGAGCTTCCTCGGCTTCTCCTGCTTCTCCTTCTCCTGCGTGCTGGTGAAGGCCACGAGGTCAATGGCCTGCTCCTCAGCGGACCAGTAGTTGTTCGTGTGCACGTAGAGGTATCCGACGGACGGGTCGTTCTTGCAGGGCGACAGGGTGTCCAGGGCAACCAGAACCTAGTTCATTGTTGGGAAAATATTTAAACAATATTTTGTTATTCCTTATTGGGTTTAAGGACCCTTAAACATGTAAAATGTTACCCAGCTATGACAAAGGAACCTCCATACCCGGAATCTCCAAGACCGTCTCCGTTCCGAGCACGAGCTTCTCAAGATGGATCGGCTTTTCCCGGAGCAGCGGCTCCAGGTGACCAGAGTTGATCCTCTACCCCCCTTAGAACCTGAATAAAAGTGATATTGTAAATATCCTCCTGGGTTTAGGGTTTAGGGTTAAGGGTTTAGGGTTTAGGGTGTAGAAAGTAACAAATACTTCCCATGGGGGATAGAGGATCTTGTCCCGGCCCTCGTAGCATCGCTCGATCGGCCCCTCGGAGAGGTGCACTAGCGATCCCAGGTTCGGCTGCATCACTTGCCTACACTGAACTTAGGGAACCCCAGCAAACATGATATTCTTTTAGCTGTTTCTTCGGGATGATTGTACCCCAAAATTCAAGAATCATTCCCAAGAATCCCTAAGTTGCAGGACCACCCCGTAGGTTGCAATCAGACCCTTGCCCATCACGTCGTCCTTGCAAACCTGCGCAGGCACGCAGTTGGCCGCGTAGGTGTTGTCAGCGAACTCCGCGTTCGCGAAGACGGCCACGTAAGTGCAGTCTGCTTTGGGCTGCTGTTCCCTGTCGGACTCCGTAGTCGGAGTACAGCCCGAAGAATTGAAGACCTTCTTGGCTATCTCTTTGGTGGAGCCATAGAGTGAGTTGCTGTTGATGGAGGTCTGCACATCCACAGCACTCCGTGTGTGCTGCCCACAGCATTCCCCAAGCAGCTGGACATTGCCCAGGACAGGCGACTCCTTCTGCATCCTCTTCCTTTTGGCGAAATACAGGGGCCCCCAAAGATTTTTGAGATCCTATACAGAGGGATAATATAGCCCATGCTACTATACAACCCCATACGACATGAATGTACATACACAATATTTGCGTTTGCATGTACACAGATACATAAACATACACACACACATAGAGTAATGTTCCTTTGCTTTTGGGGTTCATTCCATCGCCAAGGCTCAGGTGGTCTGCGAGGGACTCCGCGCCAAGCTCCTCCGAAGTGAAGATGGCGGAGAGGCGCGCCCAGGCGGAGGCCCGCGCCATCAAGCCCAAGCACAGGATCAGGGCCAACTTCTCCATACCTCCTTCGGGCCGAGCTCTGAAGCTCAAACACGGCAACCGATGCAAAATGGCATTTTTTTTAAAGACGCCCTCCAATCGCAATATGGAGCTTCTGCTCGCCTCGGAGCACCCTCATAGGGGGAATGTGCTCATGAGGCATGCAAAGCTAAGCTGAAGAGTCCAAGAACACTCTGGTTAGGGTTTAGGGTTTAGGGTTTAGGGTTTAGGGTTTAGGGTTCAGGGTTTAGGGTTTAGGGTTTAGGGTTTAGGGTTTAGGGTTGTCTGAAGTCATCATAAATCAGCGGAGCGAAGGTTCGGACGAGGGCTGAAACAGTTGAATTCGCCAAGCCACGATGCCCGCGACCAAGCTGCAGCTGGCTCAATCTGCAGTTCGCACCATGGCGGAGGGGGGGGGGGGCTTAGGGTTTGGGGTTGTTTAGGCTTGTTTAGGCTTGTTTAGGGTTTTGGGTTTAGGGTTTAGGGTTGCGGTTTCGGACGATATGAACCATCTGAACCCCATTTCCGAGTTCGGCAGGTTAGCAGGTCTCGCATGTGTGCCTAAGCAGAAGAGCGAGTGAAGTGAATAGATCTACATATATATATATATACATACATATAGAACAGGCAAAACAACAGTGGACGCCATGTAGATGGCTTTAAACATTCATATGGACATGTACAGACTATGAGAGCTCCTAGTTCTTCAACTGCGACACCTCTTATGTTCATGGCCTCTGTACAGACACTGCGCGATGCACTGTGTTGCCACCCCCGCTTGTCATCGTTGGCCAAGTCGCATAAAGCACAGTTGCCTGTCTTCACGACCCCCACTCCTGCTTCCAGTCGCACGGCCCTACGATCCCGAAACCGACATTCATGTGCGAAAGAAACCAAAGCAACATGCACTACGCAAAGCCCCCCCCATCCCTCAGAAAAGAAGCCCTAAATACCTAAACCCCTATACCCCTCTAAAGCCCCAAAGCCCTTAAAACCCTTTTTGGGGGGTTTCCGAAATTTGTGGTACCGTATTAGGGTCCTGATTACAAGGGAATCCTACTCTTTGGGGTGCATATTCGGGGTCCCTCATGCTTGTAAACCCCCTGTAACAAAACCAGTCCCAGAAAAAGGGAGGAGCCATACCTGCTCCCGCCGAAGCATGCTTCTCGAAGAATGGCCTGTCCTTTCTCGGACAAGCGCTAGGCCTTTAGGGGTTAGGGGCTTAGAAGGGCTTATAAGGGTTTATAAGGGTTTATAAGGGTTTCATAAGGGTTTATAAGGGTTTATAAGGGTTTATAAGGGTTTATGAGGGTTTATGAGGGTTTATGAGGGTTTATGAGGGTTTATGAGGGTTTACGGGTTTGGGATTTAGGGCTTGGGGATTCGGGTTTCAGGGTTTTACGGTCTCGGGCTTAGGGCTGGGTGGTTTTAATAGCTCAGGGTCATGAAGCTTGACACGCCCCTGAAACCTGAAGCTCAATATACACCGAAGAAACGACAGCGGCCGTGTGGACCCAAGCACCCACTATATTACTAACAGTCCTTAGTAAGGATTGTAGTAACCCCCCCCATTATAGTCCAAGGTGGAACATCCCAAACTATGTGGGTTACTAGCGGCCCTGGAAGTACCCAACTGTTCCGCAACAGGCAGAATAGGGCTATAACTCAGAGAGCCTCCGCAGGCAAACAGGCTCAACCGTAAGACCCCTATGTCTATCGATGGTCCGAATGGTTCACTTAGGTAGTGGGTGCCGGGTGGGGTCGCGGACATCTAGTCTCTAGACTTTTCAGACCCCGCGGAGAGAAAGAGATTAGGGCTTAGGGCTGAGGATTCGGCACATCTCCCTAGGATCCCGTCGACACTTAACAGGCGAATGCAGAAAGAATAAAAGCAAAGCCCAAACAAACAATTAGCCAAAATCTAAACCCTATAAGTGTACATAAGACAAGTTTTATAGGGTTTATAAACCCTATAAACCTTATCTCATACACACTGAAAAGTTAACCCGCGCCCCACCAGGGGCTCAGGGGGTTCGTTCGTGTCGCTTTTGGGCTCTCCAACGTTGCACACCACCCTCAAAAACCCTGAACCCAAAACCTGAAAAACCTTAAACCCTAAACCCTAAACCCTACCCTGTACCCTAAGCGCCCAGCCACCAGGATGTAGTCAATCCTGGCCCCATCGTTCTCGTGGCGCTTGTTGCGGTACTGGTCCCAGCCTCCGATAAGGCTTTAGGGCCTGGGTTTAGAGTTCAGGTCCTGGCCTTGCCAGGACGTTATAGGTCTGAGGGTTTTGGACTTCTAGTGCTGTAGGGGTGGGTCTGCAGCAATCATCATGGCAACAAACAAATACGGACACGGCTACAATTCTAACATACATCGAAATATAATATGTGTAGATATGTATGTGTCTATATATATATATATACATACTCTTATAACTGTGTTTGTTTCTGTTGAAACAGCCAGATAGGGCGCAGGCATGTGAAGCGCTCTTGCGCTTTGGGATAAAGCTCCGCAAAGGTGTCCACAAGCCCCTCTTTGAGGATCCCCTGCATGAGAGAGAGAGAGAGAGAGAGAGAGAGAGAGAGAGAGAGCGAGCGAGCGAGCGAGAGAGAGAGAGAGGGAGAGAGGGAGGGGGACAGAGAGAGAGGGAGGGAGGGAGGGAGGGGGAGAAAGGCAGAAAGAAAGAAATACAGAAATAACGGCAAAAAGAGAGACGGAGAGAGTGAGTGAGTGACTGAGCGACTGTGAGACAGGAAGGTAGAGAGAGGCCGAGCAAGAGGTTTCGACTTCGCACCCTCACCCTTAGATTCAGGCTGGTGCCCTGTAAGCCAGCACTGTCATGTAATTTGCCCTAAACCCCAAACCCCAAACCCCAAACCCTAAATTAAACAATCCTGAAGCCGACAACCTGAACAAACCACTGCGCGTCGGCCTGGAGCCAGGACCTGTGCCAGGGCAGCAGCACTTGTGTTTCAAGGGAGTCATACTCGGACTTGGGATGTTTCCCCCTTACACTAACAGTCCTTAGTCGGATTTTTAGTACCCCCTATGATAATCCCTATTCAGGACTGCTAGTAAAGGGGGAACATCCCAAACTCGGACCCCAGAAGGCTGTCATGCTAAGAGGTTCCCTTCATGAATGTATACTCCAAATGTGGCCCTGATAGGTCCCTTGCAGAGGATCTTTCCAAAAAGGGTCCAAGGTCGAGTCCCCTGCATCTCGAACCTCCTAAGCCAGCCAACAAGTACTGCCAACCCTTTTTTTTCAACCCTAAACCCCAAAAAATCCCTCGAAACCCTCGAAACCCTGCTCTAAATCCTAAACTTCACCCCCGTCAATGCGAACCTCAAGCCTGAAGTCCTGAAAACATCGGCGTTTTCGGGCTAAGATGATCTATCTTGCTTTAGTAATTTAGGGGGGCGTTTCGGTGCAGTTAGGGTTTGAGGGTAACTCGGCTTTTTTGGGAGTGTTAGGGCTTTTCGGGTTTCAGGGTTTCGGGTTTTGGCAAAGAAGGAAACTTAGGGAGGGGTGCAGCGTTTAAGGCTTTCTAGCATCTACGGCTTGAGGGCTTTTAAAGAGGTGGAAACTGCTTACGGGGTCAGACTGTAATAGCTCTCAAGCTTGATATACAGGGTTGAGGTTGATACACCCTAAAACCCAAACCCTAAACCCGAAACCCTAAACCGGGAGAGTCCGGGAGTCTATAGGGCTTTAGGGTTGATAGGGCCTGGGTAGCGGAAGTATCTTCACCCCCCATGCTGCCTCACGGCGGGCGCGCAGTTGGGAGTTGTCCAGTTTCGCACCTTGCATGAGAGCTTGGGAGGTTCCTAATAAGCCTGGACCTGAAACCAAGTGAGAGCAACATGTCCGAACATGGCCGAAATATTTTGAGTCCTACCGCAAACATCTCCTGGGTCCAGGATTGCGCTAACAGTGGGATGGAACGGCTAGAGGCTGTCTGAAGGTGAAAAAACACAAGGAGTCGGATGCTGAGTGCTTCAGCTCCCAAGAAGGACACTGCAAAGCTACGCTGAACCCTGAACCCTAAACCCTAAACCCTAAACCCAAGACCAGCGCGCCAGAATCTTTTCGCGATAAACAACGCACCAGTCGCGTCTTGCGGACCACAGCGTGCAAACTCGAGCGTCGGCGTTTGATGTGCATACTGCGGGGCAGGTTTAAGGTTGAGGGTTTAGGGTTTAGGGCTTTGGGGCATGGCTTCATGCTTCATTGATGGAAGATCTGAGATCTGGGAGTCTCGGCAGGAAGTCAATCTCAAGGCTTGGTCAGGGTCTGCTAGCGCATGCCTCCGTAGCTTTTCGAGGGAGCTGGCTGGAGAGGTCCCGGCACACGCCCTTCCCCCTAAAGCCCTAAACCCTAAACCCTAAACCCTAAACCCTAAACCGCTCAACTCTAAACCATGTGGGAGGTTGATCCAAACTGTGGACCGGCAACCGGTGCTTCTCTTTTGCACTTTCAAATGTATTTTCAGGAGTGTGGTTTTATCGTCGAAACGTACCTAACTAGGATGGCCCTTAAAGCCCTCCAAAAGATATATGACCCTCTCAAACCCAATGAGGGAAAACACAAAATGTCCCAAGGGCGAGTTAAGAAGGGAAGACCAGGAACACCTAAACCCTAAACCACGTGCTTCAGGAGGGAAGACCAGGCACTTCGCGTCGGTCG